CATAATTTACGAGAGGTCCTAGGTTTTGGGTAATGTTTTTGTGTCCACAGATACATTTTGTACTATAAAATGTATAATTTTTCAAAGATTTTGAAGATTTTTGTGAGAATGTTTGTGAGAATTTTTAAAGATTTTGAACTTCATAAGATTTTTGTGTGAATTTGCAATATTGTTCAGCATTTCTGATATTCAATAAAAAAGACGTAATCTTATTTTCTGAAAAAAGGGGGTTTTCACGAAAACGAAGGTTTGTCGACATTCCTGTCACTACAATTATACTGCAATGTTAACGATAACAACTGTTAACGGTAACAACTGATAACTAAAACACTTTAGGGTGTCTGAGTCTATCATCTGTATCACTGTTTATGCGTCTGTCTGCCATCTGGTGTTGTTGGTTCCCCTAAGTATGTTTTGGTCGACTATTTTTCATGTTCAAGTATAGACGATTGCCAGAGGGTGGGAAGTGGTTTTGACAGTTGATTGACATGGAGATCAAGCCTGTACGTGACCCAGCACGCACCGGAGTGGACGGTATGTGGGGGAATTCAGGAAGCGGTGTAATACACCATTAAATTACATCATACAAGTACAATCATTATGAAACAAGTTTTAACCGCAATATACAACACAAGAAATTGGACTCGCCCAAATTTTCGACTGTACAACTCCAGTCTTTGTCAAGGAATGAGCAATCCACTGCTTCCGTGACGTCACGCAGATAACACATGTGACTCCGTGAGCAGTGGATCATAGGTTGCAGAAAGTCTGTGGCGCCCCCCGTCTCTGTTGAGGGATGGTTGTAATGCCCTGATGTAGTATACAGATAATACAAGTACAATTCCTTGCACAGTTCCAATACATTTGCGAAAACCCTATACACCCCCCCCCTCCTCCGAAATATAAAATGGAGCCAGACTAAAATATAGAGATAAAAGTTGTCAGAACAAATATGGTTCCCCGGTCAGTGCTTCCCGCGGTTGACGTCATAGCTGCCCTTGGTCACATCCGCCACTGACAGCCAATCGTCACGGGGCTACTAACCCGTCAGTACAGATCGTGTCTCCCTGGAGAAACGCACCAACCGGACAGCGTGTAACATGTAGTTGGGAGATATGTGAAATATTGTGGACAGACTATACTATTTAAATAGATAGACATTTGACAGGCTACCTAAACTCAAGAATCAGAAAAATTCACTAACTGCTGGCCCAAGAAAAAGCAGTACAAGAGCTCAGAAAAGAACAAGAAATAGCCATGCCTTCAAGAGCGCCAGAGTTATCAATAAAAGATTTCAGAGTAGAACTCGCTGCCACCAAGTACAATAGAGCCATACTACCATGGGCATCCTCACTAGATACATATGTAGTCTTAAACAAAGTTTAGAGCTAGATGTTCAAAGGTGAGGTGTAACAATTAAGTTGTTCGGTGTAATGTAGCCAGCTGCCGCCGCGCCGCGTGCCTGCGAAGCTGGTGTGTAACGCTGAAGCTGGTGGTTATACCGGCTATACAGATACAGATACCGGTTCCAGCTACCAGTAAAAAGTTCAACCTTATGTAACACAAATTTCCAACCAAATCTTCGGGAGCAAAATCGTGACAGCTTAAAACCCTCCCGGCTGAAGTTCTGATGACACGGTTCCCAGATGTGACCACATCTTGGGGCAAAGTCAAAAACTATCACGATTTTGCCCCCGAAATCCGCTTGGAGATTAATATAACGCTACCCTGGAGGGATTCAACAACGTTTTCGTTATTTTTCCCTCAAGCTGACACGATTCTCTGAGCAGCGAAGTTATGATTCAACCACCCGCTGGTTAGAATATAAGGCCACACTAAATTAAAGTACGTTGTGTTATAGGTGGCCTTCTCTGGGAACATTGGTCTAATACATGAGTGGGATATAACGCTGCATGGGGGTTTTACGACTCTTTAGCCTATTTCACGACAATTACGGTGATAACTCTCATTTTGTGGTAACTTACGAAGGCCTTCCCCCTGGGCCTGTGAGTCCCAACCAGTTGCTGGCTGCGTGGATTAACTTTTATTTGTACTTTCCGGGTTTACCTGGAAAACGAATGAAAAGAAACACGTACTACTAGGTAAATGTCATCCATACGTTTACAAGTCTTTCTTAGGCCACAGCAAGTAATTTTTATGGATGACATCAATGCGCGCATTGATTTTCGCCTGATTTTGGAAAAAAAAATTGTTTACCCTCTGATAGTAATCAACATGAAAATGTAGGGATCTTGTATTTTTGGTGCACCTTGTTTTTCTTCGCCCTATCGCATTAGATTTTGAGTATGCAGAGAATGTCATCCATGAAATTTTCTTTCTGTGGCCTTAGGCCGTGTTTATGTGAAGTCACCCAAACCGCGATTCGGGTAACTCACATTCCTCACATCTGGTCCACGTGCCATACATTCCTTTTCAAACGTGCCCGATCACGATTCTCCGCAAATCGGGATGCGGGGAAACCGATTCGAAACCACCTCTAGAAGTGGCTTTCAATGTGATTTGGAGCGTTCAGATGGAGCCACTTGAAACCGGCTTCGCGGTACGTAAACCACATGTAAAGCGCCTTGGATGACTTCACATAAACACGGCCTTAGTACCAGTTAACATGTGGCCTGTTTTGGCTCCAGTCGCCGGCTTCGGGCAATACTGAATTTTATTAGTTATTACATTATCTATGAACACCAGCTGTGTTCAGTGCAGTTACCAAAATTTTCATTATGTGTTTTATGATCATTTCACTGCATGGGGTTAGAAGTGCTTAATGACTTTTCTCGGACTCACGTTGTGATTAAATCATGTGCTGTGTGAAACTTTTTCTTCGTTAGACTTTCATACAAACGCCGGACGCACGTACTATCCAAGCAGAGGTTGTGGGGGAATGATCGTTAGCTTTTTATATATGGCCCTTTTTTTGTCGCTACCCCCACCCGTCGGTGGCCGGCGACCTTCTCTGCCTAATGGAAACTGTCTTGCCACCAAGGGATCTGCTTGGAGATTAGGACGCATGCCTCAAATCCCAAAGTGGTATAGGGACCGGCGCATGTACGAGAAGGAATACTGTATTGATACATATAAAAACGAGCAGCGTTTATATTGAATCCATTTGCACAATGGTGTAACTCATACATTTTTACTACAGTCTACTAAATGTACTAGCTGATTAAACTGATCGCCCTCAACTCTGCAAGCTTTATTCATACTTGTGAGTTTTCATGCGTCTCTAGCTCTTCAGAGTACTTTTGTCACATTTCTACACACATAGGGTTTCTCCCCAGTATGAGTCTGCATGTGTTTCTTCAGATTACTCAACTGACTATAGACCGAATTCTGCCGCATTCCTCACAACCGTAGGATTTTTTTCTGAGTGTGAGTCCGGATGTGTCTCTTCAGACTACCCAACTGACTAGACTAACTGTCGCACTCCTCACACCTGTAGGGTTTCTCCCTTAGGCCACACCGACCTAATTTTATGGATGACATCCGCGCGCGCATTGATTTTCGCCTGTCCTAAAAAAAAAAAAAGATCACGTCCTCCGAGGCTCTGGCCTGGTTCTAGGCCTGGGTAGCCCATGGTAGTTAGCGACAATAGGGAGCCAGCGGTAACTCTCAAGAACGGCACCCGAGGCTCAACGAAGTTCCAGATCTCAGTACATACGTACAGTGCCGATTCAAAATTTTGCAAAAAGCCAGCATGTGCCGGCTTGTCGTATACATGTACGTCGCAAATTCACAATGCCAGCTTTGTATTCCTGGTATAGTAGCATTTTTATTTTTTCGCCCGCGCGCACAAGCTTAGGGGTCATCAGAGGATGTCATCCATAAAATTAAGTCAATGTGGCCTTATGTGAGTCTGCAGTGTCTCTTGAGATCGCCCAGCAAAGTGAGATTGCAAGAGACCGGCGCCCTCTCGCGATGATTAAACGTACTGCACTACGCAGAGGCTGGCGCACTACTGGTAGTTTGGGTACTGCTATATAATACAACATTCATGACATCTCATTTTTAAAGAAAATTTATTCAGAGCTGCACGTGCCCAAATAGTACAAAAGCAGTGTTGATATCAGAAATGTTGTCGACATTTCGACAGTCATTTTCAGGCATTATTCAAAGTTTAACATAATTCATAAACTATCACATATTAGATACCATACATGATAGTCCATTCTGCAATGGTAAAAGGGACAAGGTTTGTACCATTAATAACCTATTTAGCCATTTCTAACAATGTTCAACTTTACCTACTTCCAAATGCTGGGAATATGAAATATCCCTTCATTTTTGCACCGAGGAGTTTTCTCCTTGACTATACAAATTAGTCTTCATTTGCAAAATTGGTATCAATCCACATTCCCCTTTTTCTTAGTTACAAGTGTATATGTCACATTTATTAATAGTCCTATCATGAAATGCAGCATTTGTTTTGAGATAGTCTCTTTCAAAGTCCCAAACAAAATTAGCCCCTGAAGTAAAAAAGAAAAAGAAAACATGTACTTCTTTGAGTTCAGATCTATTTACCATTAAAACATCATGGCCACAGCATGTTTAAAAAGCATTAGATATGAAAAATTGAAAGTTCTGCTGTTGCAGTTCCATAGTCAAACTTGACCATTATTTTCAGACACCTAGTACCCACCTACCAAATCTCATATAAAGATCTATCCACAAGTTATGCTGTTCACAAACAAACACACAGATGGCACCAAAACACAATCTTCTTGGCAAAGGTAGAAATCCTGTACCTACAACTCCTATTAGTAATAAGAAGTTGCATGAAATTTGTGGAAAATGTACTACAATTTCTTTAGAGAGAATCAAGAACACTAGTACTGATTTTGGCTTATTTTTGGTATGTTTTAGGCTTTTTTATTGGGGTTTCTTTTTTGCACTGCAATTTTTACGCCAACCCAAGAATATGCATGGACATGGTTGTCGTAAAAAAAAAATTCAGTGCAAAAAGAAACCCCAATAAAAAAAGCTTAAAAACACGCCAAAAATAAGCCAAAACCAAAACCTCTGCTTGGAGAGTAGATCTTAAGTGCAGACTCCCAAACCAATAGCCATATTCAACTTTTCTTTCATCATTGGAAAGTCCATATCTCTAACAAAAGTACGCGGTTTCTAACGCAATTAGAAAGAGAACTGAGCTTTTAAATTTTGTGAAGAGATACATTGTAGCTTGCAAAGACCACCCAAATCTTAACAGTATAAAATTTCCTTCTTTTTTCTTGTAGTTCAGAACATGATAAGAAGGAGTAATAATTGTATAATAGGATTCAAGAGTACACACACAATTCAGCTTAAATACCCATACCACCCTTCCCATATTATACATGTAGCATATAACAAAAATGTATGAAATTGCAAAGTTGTCAGATCAGCATTACAAGACTCAAGTCGAAGACATGAAATGTACAAAAGTTTTTCATTTGGATATTACAATAATTGCATATTATGTACATGACATTGGCTTTTGCAGATACAAAATTTTGTAACTACTAGCAAATATATACAGCTTATATATTTGATGGTACGGATTGGACTTGTCATAATTGAGTAATTGTCTTTCAAAGCTGCTGCTTCAAAAATACAGTAAGCTGAGAGACTTGGTACATGTACATGTACATGCATGTATGCATCAATGCAGTACATTTACACAAAGCATTTTCATACACATCATCATACTATATATACAGCACTGATAAAAAATGCAGCGGGCATATAGATGATTCCTTAACCTCTCACTTACATGCCATGTAGAATTTTTACAAAACAGTTTACATTAATTTTTTGATTAATGATACTGTATTGCACCTGATAAGCAGAGGCCCATGTCTATACATAGCACTAACTTTTTCTTACACATTCAGGCAATAAAGTCTGCCGAGCCAAAATACCTGCAAAGGAGCATTTTCATGGCAAAAGTTTCACTGCAGTACCAAGAAAGTCGACCAGGATTCCCCTGCAGAATCTCGCCATTTCTTTAATCTCATTGTTTTGTTCATGTTGTGAGAGAATTACCAAGATAGAGAGACCAAGTTGCAATTGGATTTGAAGACAGCTTTTGCAAACCCCTGTTGGGGTGCTTGTCACACATTCTGTCCACTTTACACACAGTTTTCCCCAATATGGCCAAAATCTGCCATGGCATCGAAAAATATTAGCGCAACATGTACAGGTTAGTATTGCAGGACACCCATGGCACTAAGACTGCATGCAATTGTATGACAAAATTTCATTTCTAGCTAAACTGTGATTCTTGTAGAGCACTCAATCATGACTTTTGTTAACTTGTCAGGATCCCTTTGATAGTATGATTTGAGCAATCATAATTGTAACTGAGTAAGAAACAATTTTTTCTCACAATTTGACTCCCATTAAAAAAACAAATATATAAAATAATCTACCAGTAAGAATATATGGAGGTGAGTGGAAGCTTTCTTAGGGTGGGGTGACGGCTCTATCAAGAGTGTCGTAAGTTTGGGACATATTTATAATAAATAAATAATATATACATGTATACCTTTTGTATAATTCAATGTCAAAAGAATTATATTTGCTGAAAGATACAAACCTTGAGACAGTCGTTTTTTATACAACTTTTTGTCAGTTGATTCATTATGAAACAGACCCCATGATTTTATAAAGCTTGCGAGTCTGAAGCAACATTTTGTGCAGAAGTTTTCAGATATGATGATTTCTGTTAAAGTAGGGACACTTTTTTGTCTCTAGTTCTGACTTGTTGCAGGAATCACCCATATCTTTGGCATAGTGTCCTTAGAATTGTTCAATGCTAGACACTAACTGTACATACAAGCCGTACAAGAGCTATCATTGTCAAAAATTACATCCTTCTTTGTATACATTCAAGGGAAAATAATTTTTCCTCCAACATTCTTGCCCAGACTTGGATAACATAATTATGCCACATTGTGTGAATGCTAAAAAAACACAGTATTATGTGACAGCCACTATAAATCCTTTATCTTGCAGAGTGATAATAGGTAATACTTAACTTAATGCTTGCTATTTTAGTGTGTAAAATACCTAGCTATGGTACAGCGGGATACTGCAATAGTTAGGGCCAGTTTCCACAGGGCAAAAAAATCATTTGTCCTACTGTGATCGCCACAGAGCACTGTATGTCATGGGACAGATTTTCGCACATAAAATCTTATCTTGGAAGTTCACCTGTGTTGGTGCATGTAGAAGTCTTTATGAGCAATCCACCGCTTCCGTGATGTCACGCAGATAACACACGTGACTCCGTGGATCATAGGTTGCAGAAAGTCTGTGGCGCCCCCTGTCTCTGTTGAGGGACTGTTGTAATGCCCTGACCCACTGACTTTATGCAACCTACGATCCACTGCTTGAGGCCTCACGTGTGTTACCTGCATGACGTCACGGAAGCAGTGGATTGATCGTTCTTAGACAAAGACTGTACTTAAAGTTGTACAGTCGAAAATTTGGGAAAGTCCAATTTTTTGTGTTGGCCATTTCAGTTCAAACTTGTCATAATGGCTAAAAAAAATCTGTCGTAGGATTTTTTGCCTCGTGTAAATTGGCCCAAAGAAGACAATGAAAGTAAGAAATAGCACAGACTCATCCACATTTCCAGTAGAAAAAGGAGGATCTCAGCCACTGCTTCATACAGCTGTCCTGCCTGCCTTGGCCTACACCTGGTACAGAGGGGGGAGAGGAGAGAGAAGAGAAACTTGGGTTGGTAGGTGGACTTAATATAAAGATCTGTCTTTCTTTCATTTGATGGAATTTCGTTGCACAAAAGTTTTGCCCAATTTGTCATCTTTGACAGACAAAAATCAGTGTGTGAAGATGTGGAAAGAGATATCATTAAAACTAAGCTTATACAACTCAAATATGAATGATGACACAGACACAGATTCACACCAAAACACAATCATGATTGGAAACATAAAGCCAGCAGTCATGGCATTGTCAGATACATGTCATATATTGATTGTATATGTTATGTTAGTCACCAAACACCTCTAAATGCTGTTACAGGTTACTACATGTACGTACAACATGTAAGCTTGAACTGCCAGGGTAGTCAAGAACTTTAAAAAACTGCAGGAACTGATCATGACAAATTAGCAACTGATTATAAAATGTAATGTATGTTTATCATTACAGTTACTGTGTTAAGAAGAATATTCAAACTTGTTTTCCAGTCTGGACTGAATAATTTCACTGGAGAGGCATTTACACAACATTAACTGTGTTCACAATATCACTAAATTGGCCAAACAGAGTGAACATTTCTGACTACTCCATCACACAATCTGGTGCTTTTACTTTTAGGACATCTAAATAGTTTTCTTATGTCGTCACATTGTCACAGCAGAAAAATCCTGACCCCAGCTTATGTTAGACTTAAGATACAAGCTAGTAAACCAAAAATAAAGCCAAATCCTTTACACCAAAGTTACCAAACACAAACATATACTAGTAATAAAACTAACAGACAACTGTTAATAAACATGCAGTATGCAGATAAATGCTGTTTGTAACAGAGTTAGTATGCTGCAGTAATATCATGGATGATAACAATTCATTATTATAAAGTAAATGATTATACATGTACTGAATAATTTCTTGAAACAGAACTAAACTGCAAGCATTGTACGGCTACAATTATATATAATTTTTATGCTTTTCTGTTAACTGGTGTTAATTGCCACATGGCAATTTAGTAGCTTTGTTGTTTAGGGTGCAAGTACATGTAGTTAAAAGTAAAATTTGACATTCAAAAGTGGCTGTCAACACATACTATGTGACATGTACGTAGATGTACCCCAGATTAAATTTTTCCAAAGTATTACATACCGGTAGATTGTTTTACAGTTTTGAACTTAGTTAGCCATTCAAAAATTGCTGCTATACTGTAAGAGGTTGTATCTTTTTGGACATGATGAAAATGTGTGTGTGGGTATGTGTGTGACCATGGTGTGACTGTGTCTGTGACTGTGTCTGTGACTGTGCATGCATGTGTGTGCGTGCGTGCGTGTGTGAGTATGCATGTGTGTGTGCAAGAACAAGACAGTATATGTGCATGTGTACAAGGATAGGTGTGATAGTAAGAAATTAGTAAACTGTCAACCTCTTTTCACATGAGCTACTCAGCTCTTGAACGCAGGGCTCGAAATTCACTTTAATTTGGAAAATTCACTGGTGCAACCAGCCAAAAAATTGGGTGCACAGAAAATGTGCTATGTACAATACATTACGGGTTTCGCGCAGGTGCAGTACATTCTGCTGACGTGCTGACTGTTACTGTTCAGTCAGTGTTAAGCTTACGGAAGGAGCCTACCATCCCAGCCATAGTGGCATCTCCCACCGCACTCTTACCTAGCTCGCCCATCTGCACCATGCCAAACTTGTTGCTCATCACCATGGTGTCTTCAAAGCTCTGTAGCTTCTCCTTCCACTCTTTGGACATCTCCTCCAGAGGCCCCGCATCTCCGCCTAGTTCTGTGGGGAGGATCTCCGTGCCTGTGTGCTCATGTAGGGTCTCAAACACAGTACCGTGCATCCTTATCTGTAATACATAATTATAAGTAAGATACATTACAGTAACTTTAAATCACTTTATGTTCGCGGTACCCTCAGTTAAAGGGAGGGATCCTGGGCCCTACAAGGGTTTGGGTTGGTGTTAGGAAGGGCATCAGGCCGTAAAAAAATCTTGCTTAGAATTTAATTTAAATAAAAAGACTTGATGCAAGCAAGTCTAATTGCTAGTTTTGGGGAAAAAAGATGTAAAACTGGAGAGAGAGAGAGAGAGTGTGTGTGTGTGAGAGAGAGAGAGAGAGTGTGTGTGAGAGAGAGAGAGAGAGAGAGAGGGAGAGAGATAGAGAGAGAGAGGGAGAAAGCAGACTCACCCTTTGCTTCAATTTCTCCTTCATGAAGGGTCGCAGGACAGCAAAGATGCCGTCGAAAATTGGTGACTCGTTCACAAAGTGCATGCCCTTAATTCTAGCTGGGAAGGCCTCCTGTATATGGCAATATCATACATGTACATCAAGCAAACATTAAACATAGCTATTTCACAATATATCAATATATTTCTCATACATAGTGATTTTCAACAGGTGTTTCTAAGCAGGGCTCGAAATTCATTTTTGGGAATAAGTGCACTGGTGCACCCAACTTAATATTGGGTGCACAAAAAATATTTTGGGTGCACCATATAAAATAAAGGAGAATACCAGCAAAAACTGATTATGTTTTATTTCTAAAGAAAAGTGTAGTAACTATATGACAATTATTCGTGTATTTCTTAATTATGCTGAAACTACTCCATTTTAACATCTTTACATAATGTAAACCTACAAAAATATTTGGGTGCACAGCTCCAAATTTGGGTGCACAACCCAGTATTTCGAGCACTGCTAAGTGACTTTATTTTTGACTAACCTGAATGATGTTGGTCATTGTGCTGGCGTACCTCGGCCCTATGTGGTAGGCGTGGTTTGCTGTAAGGCCGGACACTTCCATGATCATCATAAGTCCATTGACTTGTGTCTCTTCATCCTAAGAAATCACAGGGAACATACATTGCAAAATTGCAATTATGCAAGGAACGTATTCAATATTAGATACATACAATGTATGGGTTGTCCCTTGAACTGAATTCTGCAAATTTCCAAGGAGCTTAATACTAGTACTATACTGTGCTAGTGAGCAAATTGAAACTTCTTATAATAATCTTTATAAATTTTAAGCAAGATGTACAATTGAGTATTTTAAATTTTTTTTTTTATTCAAGGCAACTAACCAGTGGGTTACTGTTGAAGAATTCATGAATAATTAGAAGAAATGATGGTAAGATTTTCAGCATGACCAATACTTCTTACACAGTTACAGTGTGAGTGGTGCAGGTAATTTTTTTCCAGGTGCATGTAATTTGCAATCAATTATGTTACCTGCAGTAGAAAAAGGGATTTCAAGTCCTGAATGTGTCTTACCTCAATGATTTTCTCCAAGGACATAATGAGGGTTCTGGCATTGTCATAGATGGGCCAGGCTGCTGGGTCCCACTTTCCTGCACAGGTGGAAGATTACAAAATAGATCACTGTGAGCCTGCTCTAAGACATAATGACGCTCATAATCCTTCAACTCGTAACAATTGTTAAAACCAGTGATCAATCACACAATCATGACATTGTACATTCTCATTTACATATACATGGAGTAACCAGACAACGTCAACCAATCAGAAGGCTCCATTTCCCCCATTAAACCTAGGTCATGAATATCCGATATACTGACCCACCAATGCCCGTTCAGTTCCAATGACCAAGGGTGACCCCAAATGGAACACGCATTCTTTTCCAATGACCCAAATGGAACACGCATTCTGTTCCAATGACCAAGGGTGACCCCAAATGGAACACGCATTCTTTTCCAATGACCCAAATGGAACATGCATTCTGTTCCAATGACCAAGGATGACCCCAAATGGAACACGCGTTCTTTTCCAATGACCAAAATTTATTTATTACCAAAATGGAACATGCATTCTGTTCCAATGACCAAGGATGACCCCAAATGGAACACGCATTCTTTTCCAATGACCAAAATGGAACATGCATTCTGTTCCAATGCAATGGCCGCAGGTGACCCCAGTAGTAATGTTTAAGTACTTTACCTGGCCTGAAGACGACAAGCTTCCTTCCTTCCTTGTCCCTGCCTGGCACTTTTTTCTTTGGCCTCAATCAAGACATCCCTTAAGGGATAAGCACAATGTAAAATCTTGCAATAAATAAACAGAGAATATGTAGCAATGTTTAAAGTTTACCTGGCCTGAAGACGACTAGCTTCCTCCCTTCCTTGTCCCTGCCTGGCAGTACTGTGACAATAGCCTTGTCCAGCACGTGGGTTATTGCTGATGGTAGAAACTTCTCAAAGATCTCAGGAGTGTTGGCCCTAGCTTGGTAGTAGTTTTCTAACAGTTTAAAGGCACGGTCGTAGTCGAACTTTCTCGCACGTAGGAAGCGTAGCAGGAAGCCGTCGTCTGTGCGGGAGTTGATGTCGGGACGGGCATTGATCATGTCCCGCAGAGCTTGGATATCGCGGTCCCTCCACGCCGATTTCTCGTTCAGTTCGGTTTCCGCCTTCTTCTGGAGCTCGGGACTGAGCGTACAGACGTACTTCTCTGGCGGAGCCTTGGTGTCGGCCATGTTGGTGTCCTACAGACGGTACAGTGGTACAGAGATGTGCGAAGAGGAAGACAGGGCAAAGGTCGGAGCTACCTTCCCATCTGGTGTGATCTGGTCATGATGGAGGCTGCAATTATATAGGAAACAGGTCATTATGATATATTATGGGCACAAAGGCTCATCTGTGTTGGTAATTGATACAAAAATAATGGTACTTTAATTTTGAGCACCAGAGGCAAGTTGCGAGCTGCCATCAAACCCACAGTATGGCTGTACAAGCATATGTCTAACCCTCAGATGACACTTGGAACAACAGACGATAGCGAATGTGAGTGAGTCACTCGTGGCCGAGCTCAGTCAGTTAACATCCGGACATTTTAAGTGATTGGTAATTTGGACATATTACCATTAGAATGAAAACCAAGCAGATGTCAGGAGTGAGAAACTAGCCCAATGAAACAGGAAGTGATGCAATTGTTTACCGCAATCCCACATTTTTTAAGTATTTACGGAGGTGGACCATTTGTCAGAAGGGTACAATGTTTTTTTTGATAGATTGAAATGATGTTAACACACACCATGCCCACATACTACGTTTGAAATCTACAATTTCTTGTTTTCTTTAAACAAGTTACATGCTTACTTATTGTGCTGCAAGTAACATATCCATTGCATGAAGTCAGACTAAAAAGTCACAATCGTGACTAGGTAAATGTTAAACAAAGGAGCTCAAAATCTACACTTTGACCTTCTTGGTTAAACATTGCAGAGGCAAGTACAGTGGGGGGGGGGGGCAAAAGGCTGATTAAGTGTTTCAACTGTTTATGGGTGTGGTAAAATCACCAAAAAGTGGCCACGAAAACTGTGAACTTGAGTTTCAATACAAATACACCAAGTGTGTAGAATCCAAGAATAGCAACAAGTCCATATTTACTAAAATCAGTGACCATGTAATTCATGACTTCTTCCACTGTAAGCCACTCAGTCCCCTCACAGCTTCTACTAGTGAAAGTTATTTGATCCATTTAAGCTCAACAATAACCAAGTTCACTTCCTGTCATGGACTTCAGCAGTCCTTTGGAACTTAAGAAATAACCCACCTGTTAGAGCAAGTACAGAAAAACAAGCTTTATGCTGCAGCTTGAGGAACACAATCAACAGAACACCCAAACCTGCCTGTTGCCTGTGTTGGCCTTCTGACGTGGCAAGTCAACAAAAGAGGGTGTTGACATAACACCTGGGGGTAGGTGGGAAGGTCACACGTACAGGGCTCCAATTACTAGTACTAGTAAAGTATGTCATTTGGCATAGTAGATAATAATATTTTTTCAAGGTAGCGACTGTAGGAGTGGACGTAAACTAACCAGGATGGTACCCAGGCTAGCAAAATTCCTTCAAATGATGTAAATCCACCAACCAACCAAAGTTTCTCTTCTCTTCACCTCAGGGTAGGTGGGAAGGTCACACGTACAGGGGTTCAATTACTAGTACTAGTATGTCATTTGGCATATATAGTGTGTATATAGAATATTTTTAAAGGTATAGATGCACATGTTCACATGTATATTTATATATGTAATGTTACAGTTATATACAGTTAAGAGGGTGTTGACATATAAAACCTGAGGGTAGGTGGGAAGGTCACACATATACAGGGGCTCAGATTACTAGTGCTACCGGTATTACCAGTACGTGGTTTGGCATAGTGCACATGAGAATAGGTATAGGTGCACAATTTGTGTATATGTATATCTATGATGTATATGTATGTATGTATGTATGTAAATATACACATATACATATATTTATCTATTTATTTATTACAATTCTCCACATACATGGAGGGCATGGTGGAACAGGTGCACCTAAGGCTAAGTACAACTTTTCAAGGCCACCATGTCGACAAATAAAGACAGGCTCATACAAATATGCTAAAAACACAATACAGTGTTATAAACATGACATTATAATTTAAAAGACAATATTGAGTAAACTTAACGGGGCCTAGTAGCGCAGCAGTGTTATAAGATCTGTTGCATATCGCTAAATTATGTCACTTTGGTCAGGCCATTTCAAAACTGTACTAAGTAGATGGAAACTAAAACATCTCTGTTTTTCCCTTGTCCATAGTACTTTCAGCATTATGCTAAGCTAGTTTGTCTGATGTATGTGTTTATTGGTGTTTAAAATTTCCTTAAGTTGAAATTGTACATCTTTGCAACTTGAATCATGTGTACTGAACTACCCTGTACAGGGCAAATGGGTACACATGGGTATCTATGTTGAATCCGAACATCTACCAATAAGAATGTAGTTCACTCAATATTAGGGTAGATTAAGAACCTTACATTTAATTGATACTTTACATCTACCAAATGGTAATTAATGGTTGCTTGGCCTGCGTATAGATTATCAAGTATTGCTAATTTTTTCTTCCAGATATAATAATATACGCCATTGTGATTAGTAGTCATTATGAAGTGAAAGATCATCACATTTTGCAATCCAAATAAGCGAAATTTCTAATTTTCGTGCTTTTTAAATTGTCGGAATATCAAATTTAGCGGCACCGCCCCCTCAAATTATTTTCTTATACGAACCATCAAGGCTTCGAGTTCTACAGAGATCCTCGGAAAAAATCTAAGTCTTCTTACCGTCTGTATAGCTTCTTGATATAATATATGTCTTGATATATGAAGTATACAAATATACAAGCGGTGTGTATCGTAAGAAGCGAACGCAAACGACGTAAACATCGCCCAGAAAATTATGTAAACATTCTCTCTCGCTCTCGACGCGTTTCCGAAAAGGTTCGCACGCAAAGATGTACCAACAGCCGCCGCTAGCGGCAAAATACAGCCAACTTCGCACCTTCTTAGAAACGTATCGGCTACGTAAACTACCAAACCGTGTAGTTTGAATCTCCCAGCGTTGTAGTATGTTGTTAAAAAGTGGGAAATTTCACCTGTAGGAGTCTGGCGCGGCCTGACAGCTCTTCAACCTGCCGCCATCTTGAAACTACCGCGGGGCACCATGGGATGCGCACACCTGTCGGTGAGGTGAAAGGTCAAATGATGTCATGGTGGGTATGTGGTGTGATAAAAAAATTAATGTTTGCCCTTCATACAATTATGATATAATTATGAAAATCACACTGATATTAACATTATTAATGGAAGATTTTACAAGTAGGTAAGTATGGGTAACTATGGACTATGGATTTCTATGGAGGCCCAGGGATCAAAACATAATACAGTGTGTAAAATCATATTAAACATTATGGAAAATTTGTACATAAGTCACATAATGTAGATTTGTTATAATATATCTATAAAGGGATTACTAAAATATGATGGATTGTCAGTTGACACTGCGAGATTTGACCTGTGACCCGTTTGCCTGGGACAGCCTCCTCTGGGAATACAGGAATTCCAGCTTAGGCCAGAGCAATTAAATTGTGTGGATGGCATCCTCCACAGACTCCAAAATAAATGCAATAGGGCAAAAAATAAATAAGGCAGACAAGAAAACAACATGATGACAACATTTTCAAATTTTTGAGATCATAAACCTTGTTAAACAAGAATTGAGATGACACAAAACATTATATCACAACCAATGGGTACTTTAATTTGTACTCAACAGGATTTGTGTCATTTTGAGGAACCGATGTGGTATTTGGTCTGGACCTGGTACTTTAGACTGATTGAGACCTTCAAGCATTTCTTTGTCACCATCAGTAGATACTTCTATATGTGTTCTAAAGAGGGGTACAGGGTTGACCAAGAGATGGCACCTCTGTTGTCTTCTTCTGTGAGAACACTTTTGAACTGTGTACTCCTGCCTCCTTTCTCACTGTCACTGATACATGTTGTAGTACTAGTAATTCCCCACCTTTAGTCTAGAACTCCCCAACAAGGTCTCTCAAGCCTTTTATTTACGACCATACCATACCCCAGCATGTCTCCCACATATATCGATTACGCTTGTTTATGCGTTTCTCAAGTCCCTTTTTAGTTCCAGTCTTCCTCTAGCCTGGTAACCAAACCTATTATAGCTCCCAAGTCCTACATCCTCTCCGCAAGAGGATGTAGGACTCGGGAGCTATATAGGTTTGGTAACAAGACTAGTCTTCCTCCTGTTTTCTTAGCTTTGTTGCAAAGGCGCTGCTTCTTGAAACAATGCCTTCTTAGGTTTCCAAGTACATGCGTACTTGTATATCATGTATATGTGTTCTGTTATGTTGATTCAAATGGATAAGGATAGAAGAAATATGAGGTTATCCAACTAACCCCAAGCCCTAACCCTCCTCCAGCTGTACCCCTATTCCTTCCCCAACTACCAACTACACTTACTATAGCCATCAAAGTGCTGCAAAGACAACAATAGAACACACTGAGTAACAACAGAAAGAGATTCTATTTGTGAGCAGGGTTTTTATTCATTGATCTGTCAGGAGACAGAAACATCAGGTGGTGGATCTAATTCATCTGGCGGATGAAGCAGTTGATCTTGTCTTCTCTGTTTCCGAAGTCACCGCCCTCGACGAAGTGGTTGCCCTTCTTGCGCATCCCTCCACGAGGGGAGGACAGCTTGAACGGCCAGAGGAAGTTGTTGGCTGCCCTGAAGTTGGGACCGACACTGAAGATCTCGTGGATGAGGTCCTCGATACAGATGATGCCACTCTTGCCTGGGAAAATAAAAATAAAATAAGGACTCGGAAGGTAACATTTGTAAAGCAAATGCATAATATTTACCTTCGCATATGGTCTGCTCTGTTAATTTTTACTCAAACACGTTCATATATATGGTCAGACAGGAGTCTAAATCCCTCCTGCTACAAAACTGCAACATGATGTAACCCAACACTAGTTGCCATGGTGACAGACATCTGGCTCAGGTCATTGACTTTATTTGTTTGGAAAAGAAGAGGAAGAAACTGAGCAAAAACAAAATGTTTTCCTTCTGCTAAGGTAAACATAACAATTCCTTGGTTTCATCCACATGACATTAACATTTCTTAATTTCCTTTATTGTCATCTTCACACTGAACAACCAAATCCCTTTCAAAGGGAGTTTTGACTTTTGACAATACATGTACAACATTTCTCATGGAGGTAACAAGACAAACAGGCAATGGGCCACTGAAATGTAACTTAATGGTTGGTGCACCATACCTAAATTCTCTTCAATGAGGGCATTGTCTGTCAGAGCAATTCTTCTCTTCTGGATCTTGCCATAGCCCCGCTTGTAGATGAGTTCCCGAACAGTCTTCAGGTTGGGGTATCTGTTGCAATGTGAAAAAACAGTGTTAACTTTCATTTCTGTAAACTGTGTATCATTTTATATCCAACAGCAAAATTAAAAAAAAAAGTAATAAAATTAAGGAGAAAAATATAAGGCATGTATTTTCATACTCCAGGAAATTTGTTTGGTTCAAGTGTGAACAAGGCCTTGTTATTATTTTTTATTTTTAATTCTTTTGTTTGTACAGATAGAGAAAAGGATATAGGGGATTTCTTCTTACAAATAATGTTTCTCACCTGCTTACATTTCAATGTTTATCACACACCTTCCTCAGAGCTTCTTAATTGATCAGTAAATAAACTGAAACTTACAGGAAAATTAGAGTTTCTAACTTACCCCCAAGCGATGTAGGGCTCGGCGATCTTCAGCATGTTGAGAGAAGCCTTGTTCAGTTTCACGAAGGTCCCGTTGAAGATCTGCCTCAGACGCAGGAGCTGGAGAACTTTGCGCACCTTCGGGCTGACACCATTGATACTGCAAAGTACAGGAGATTGGGTCAGCATCAACATCATTTAACACAAAATAGGCTGACACAAATTTTTATCACTGTATGACCTGATGTTCCCAGTAGCACAAGTTCATGGTGGAGCAGCAAAAAGAAAGTTGGTGAATTAATTGATTAAGGTAATGTTAGCTTTGCGATACAAAAGTGACTGTGAAAACTGTGAATACAAAAGTACAGCAAAAAAAATCATGATTTACAACATTTGGATACAATTATGATATGGCAACTTTTAGGCAATATCAGGCAGCTCGTTGTGCAAAAATAGATACCACGGAAACGTTGATTAAGATTAGACATCCACCCATCCTTGTTTTATTACTGGAAACATCAGATTAGTAGGGTTGTGTGGCATAACGGCAGAGAATTCGGCTCAGAAGCAAGAGGTCCCGGGTTCAAATCCTGCCACGTCACCGACCTTGAGCCCTTGGGAAAGGCACTTTCCTTACTCCGATCAGGTGTTCATGAGTATGCCAGAATGATCATTATCGTGATGGCATTACAGGAAAACCATTACATTGTACCTACCCCCGAATCCTGACAACAAATGCCAGCTTGGCCTCGGGTGGTACGTAGAAGTTTCCGTGCTTCTTGGCCTCGCGTTTCAGCCTGATCTCATCCCGTTCTTTTCTTCGGTACTCGCGAACATAGGTCTCCGCCCGCTTGAAGATGATCTTCCTCTTCTCCTTGCTTTTCTGTTAAAGAAAGATGTATGTTAAAGTAAGTGGCAGTGTATGGTACAGGTACAAAATGTGCTGGTAGTCCTTCTCGTAGTTAGAGATGGGTGTTGCTGTGTTAGCGTCCTCGTTCACAAATGGTGTGACCTCATGTCGCTTGGTCCAAAAATTTACCAAATCACGACGTACAGCCAGTCAGCCATGCAACACAGAGGTGACTAAAGCTCCTTCTCTCCACCAAATCCTAGCACCCCTTCCAAAATGTTCAAAATATTTTGGGTTTTCTCTTAGTATTATCATGAAAATAATTTTTTTTACTGTTAGTTACCTGTACCTAAACTTCAGTGACTCTACCTGCACCTAAACATCAGTACCCGTACGTAACCTCAGTCTGTACCAGTACCAGTACCTGAACCTCTGTACCAGTACCTGAACCTAAACCTCGGTACCTGTACCTAAATGTTACGTTTAGGTACACAACCCTAGTTCCAACTCTGAAACATGGAGTAAGATACTAAGAAAAACCTTCATTACCCACCTTCTTCTGGAGAATAGCAGCCTTAGCCCGCTGGGCCTTCAGCTGTTCAAAACGCTTCCTTTTCTTCAACAGGCTCTCAGGAACCTTCGGAAGCTTTTTCGCCTCTCTATATTATGACATGACAAAGAAATATGCTGTTAGAAGACATCCACTAGGCCAAATTCAACTGGATTATAAATTATATGGAAGCTGCAAGCACTTGAAGAACATACTCTTGTGAAGTTATGAAGTTTATTTTGTTGCTTGCATAACTTTTCTTATTCAGGCTACATGAAGATATTGTCTATAGGGTGGACATTTTCGTCGTATATATCAATTAACAGAGGGTAAACGAACAGTGGTGCTTGTTTCGCTATTCGGTATGTTGTACGTCGTCTAAAGCTAGTGCCACATCCATTCAAATCGTGCTTCAAGAATCAGCAAGGAAAATATACATCGTCAGTGTTGACACCAAATTTATACTTTAATTTGACCTATGTCGATTTTACTATCCATCTATAGTAGTGGCTCCTTCAGATAGCCCCTATATGTTGTCGATTGCACCGGATAATTTCACATGAAAAAAGCACACTTACGCGTCCGCCATTTTGCAGAGAAAAGAGAAAGATACATCCGGGAACTCGGCGAACCCACCGAGTGGTTTAGCCCAAATGAGCCCAGGGTGAAAGCTATTCTTTGAAGTTCAACATCGTTTTCTGGTTCAAATTGGCACAAATAGACACAAATATTCTCTATATAAGATGGATATACTTGAATTTCTATTATGATGCAGTACTTATTTACTTCATGTTGACTTATAATTTAAGAGCACACCCCCTCCAACGGTAGTAAAGTGGTTCAATCCGATACCCAGAGCACGGGGTAGATCAACCATATTTTCAAGCAGATGTTAGGGGTGTAAATATTGAAGCATATCCCTCCTTCGAAAGATCCAATTTTTTCCAAGTCCGTTACTAATAGTAATTAATATTGGAAGTTTGGAACCAATGTGTCCCAATCTTCAATACTTGAGAATATCATAAGGTTGCAAAGTTGCAAACACATGGATTGCATTGAGGAAAATAACTTCAAGGCTTCATTATAACAGAACACCTTCTTGCTCTTGCCATAATTGTTCAACTGCTAAGCACATGAAGCATAACCTGTTAGCTGGTGCATATTATAAACAAAGGTCACAATCTTCCCCACCAACATCTGCTTGGAGAGTGCCAGAGGGGAGCTCGATAGCCTGGGGAGGCTCAATCAGCCCGTGACACCACACCACAGTCAGTAGGAGGAATGACTACACACTCTTCAGCTATTTGTAACACTTTGATACGTACCTTTGCCGAAACATACAAAATCATACAGCTATCTGTTAGAGAATTCATTGAGTTTTAATTTTATGTGTTTGAAAGATTTTGTACTTTGGTAGAATCTTTTTCGTTTGAATGAGGCATAGTAAGCAGTACTAGAAACGCGGCCAGAAATGCACTGGATCATCATCCCTCCTAGTATTGCACAACCTCCAGTGGTCCAGGTTGCGAAACGAAACACGTATCGTGGCAGAAGAGCTTCCAGGTTTGCGCGAACCTGATGGGTCCCTGATGACCTCTCTGGGTAGGATGGGTCTGGTCTAAAGAGCCCTCTTGTTGCACATAGACTAGCTGAAGCTCTGGTGGCCGCCATGGGGTTCGTGGAGCTGAGCTTGCTGATTTGGAGGGTGATCTGCGCTTGGGTTTCGGCGCTGGCTCACGTCTTCTTACCTGCACGGAGGAAGTCTGTGGAGGGAGATATCTGTGTGATCACAGGTAAGGTGTGGGGTCATCATCATACGATATATGTGCACGTAACGTCAAGCCGATTGTTGGAAAGGGGGGAGGGAAGGTAGGTTGTGTTGTAGCTTTCAGAGCTGAGGGCAGAGGGTTCAGGGGGTAAGCTTTACTTTAGTGCTAGAGTTTCTGTGGGAGGGATGGTGCACCTATCATTGCAAAGCCTTCAAGGTGGAAGAGGATACCAGACTAATCAAAGCTTAGAGTGAGACTGTTGGCAGGATGATTCTGTCAAAAGGGCTTTTACCTGCACTATTGACACTTATGCAAATAAGGAGTAAATTTCATGCAAATGATGCCATTAGCCTTGACAAATAGGTTACACAAATTGCCACATACAATAAAAGTAAAACTTGATTTGAGCTGAAGCAATCTGCAACAAAATGTGCCTTGCACACAACATACACGTCAAAGGAAATTGCTGCATACATGTATATGAAAACCAACACAAATGAAATCTTTGACTAGCTTCTACCAGGCTTCAAGAAGCGGCTGGAAATAAATAGTACGTAGAAATTGGCCAGATAGGCAGATGATATGCCAGGGGAGTTGGCCCACGCTAAGAGAGCAGTTTGCCGCTCCCCTGGCATATCGTCTGTCATTTTGGCCAAAATCTACTCTTTCCAGCTGCTTCCTGAAACATTGTAACATAAGAAGGTTATCTTTGACATCTAGTTTGCATTTGTTTTAAACCTAGGAGCTGGCATGGGTATTGGACGACTGTTTGCGCTGGAGTTTGCCAAGCTGGGTGCGACAGTCGTTCTTTGGGATGTGGACAATCCAGCAAATGAGGAGACAGCCAGACTGGTAGAGGCTGCACACGGGAAGGCCAAGGCTTATGTCTGTGATGTCAGCAACAAGAGTGATGTATACAGGTTTGTGGTCACTCCACTATATACATAATGACACAATCAGGGGCAAGTAGAAACATGAAAAACCTGGATCCTGGGAATCGAACCATTACCCCTGGATCCTGGGAATCGAACCCAGGCTGCTCAATATATAACCAACACACCAACTGCTTGGCTAAAAGGTCAGGACCTGTTTGATACGTCATAGGTGGTTCAATGTAGCAATTAAAAGTCCACATTCACCTACATGTACATTTGTATAAATAAACCCAGTGCATGGACCAGTGCAGGTTAGGTGCAGGTAGACATCAGAAACACCTGCATAGCTCCAATTTTACCTGCATTAAAGTTGGTCTTTGGTTCAATTTTATTGGTGGCTGGATGTTGGCCGGGTGATTTAGTCAGGCTACATTAAGGTGTATATGTACCCAGTATTTTGAGCCCAGCAAGTCAAATACTTTGCTGAACCCTCAGATTCCCCTTGGAATGACATTGATAGGTGCGGCTCTAGCCTGTGCTGACTCACTCCTGCTGACTTGATCCAATTTAACAATGCTGGCAGGGAGGCACAAACAAGGATCTGGCCACAATTTCACTGGCATTATTTCGAACACGGCAAGTCAGATATTTTGGTGAACCCTCAGATAGATTCCCCTCTGAATGACATTGATAGGTGCAGCTCTAGCCTGTGCTGACTCACTCCTGCTGGCTTGATCCAAACAAGTCTGGCAGGGAGGCACAAACACGGATCTGGACACAATTTCACTGGCATTCCAGGACAGCCAGGTCGTTTGTTCTGCTGTCAGGAGATTCCCCGCTACATGTACCTGTCTCTCCAACATGTGTCCAGCCTTCAGGAATACAAGTGAGGTGGAACATCTTGATAGCTATTAAAACTTTAGTTTTGTTTGTTCAAGGACATTATACAAAAACCTACTGTTGGGGTATCAGCTACATGTACCATGGTACTTGTCATCACTCAAACAAGTGTCCAGCCTTTGATAGCACATTAAGTGAGGTGGAACATCTTGCAAGCTTTGATTTGAAAACTTAAGTTAATTGTGTACGTCAGTGAAGGTTAGACATCCACATCCAGGTAATAAGATACTAGTACTCAAGAAACTGGTTATGATTTTCCAAAATCATGTCCAGTTGCTTGAGTAACTGTTTTTTTGGCGTATTTTAAGTTTAGTTTGTTCTGCTGTCCGGAAATCTCCGCTACATGTACCTGTCCCTCAAACACATGTCCAGCCTTCAGGAATACAAGTGAGGTGGAACATCTTGAGTGCTGTGAAAACTTAAGTTTAGTTTGTACTTCCGAATTGGTGAAGATTAGACATCCAGGTAATAAGATATGCCAAAAAAACAGTTACTCAAGCAAATGGATATGATTTTGGAAACAGTCAGACGTTTCAGGTAGCATCCACTACCTTTGGACTAATGTCACTGACGAAAGGTGGTGGATGCTACCTAAAAGGTCTGACCATTTTCAAAATCAGGTCCAGTTGTTTTAGTAACTGGTTTTTGGCATATCTTATTACCTGGATGTCTAACCTTCACCAATGAGGTGGAACATCTTGATAGCATTGAAAACTTTTGTTTAGTTTGTTCTGCTATCAGGAGATCTGAGCTACATGTACATGTAGCTGTCCCTCAAACATGTGTCCAGCCTTCAGGACTACAAGTGAGGTGGAACATCTTGATAATGATAGCTGTGAAAACTTTACTTTGGTCAGGCAATCAGCTACATGTGCTGTGGTACCTGTCACTCAAAGTCAAACAAGTGTCCAGCCTTTGACAGTGCAAGTGAGGTAGAACATCTTGCAAGCTTTGAAAAGCTATGGTTCTCGTTGTATCTTTAAAGTCACCTCCATGGAAATGGAGGGAGTGATTTAGTCTCCACCAGACTTCTTTTGCGGGGAGCTGGAGCTAGCTTCTCTGGCCGGCTACCTTCTCTGGCCAATTAATACCCTTTTTAGGTCGATTTCTACGATTTATTCACCCCGCAAAAGAAGTCTGGTGGAGACTAGGAGTGATTCTGGTGTGTCTGGTTGTGGGAAGGTCAAGGTCAATTTTGGGCCTCCTTGTGGCTTTCCCTGGTACTGTACTGTATCTTTTGTCCTGGACATGCCATTGTCTTGATATTTTGGTACATGGCAGAAAGCTTGTTATGTCAGGAAAAATGGTATAGCTTGGGGCTCCCTAACAGCTTTCTTAATTCACCGTAGCCTGGTTACCAAACCTACTATAGCTACGTATTATAGAGTCCTACATCACTATTTGCGGATCGGAGAGGATGTAGGACTCAGGAGCTATAATAGGTTTGGTAATAACCAGGCTAGATTCACCATACTCCAGCTTTCCCCCACAAATTATCTGTAGGTTTGGTCCTGTTGTTTTTTTCATGCTTCAGATTACAAAGCCCACGTGTACTCCTCTCTGTCACCTTCAAATATGAGATTTGGGAACTCTTGAACAAGAGCAAGAAACAGTCATGCCTTCAAATATCAGAGTTATCAACCAAGAATTGTGGTATTCAAAAACTCGTATAATTTCCCCAGAACTATCGTAGACTGGAACTCGTTGCCACCAAGCACAGTTGGGGCATCATCACTAGAAAGCTTTAAACAACTCCTGCAATCAAATGTGCAAAGATTGAGTGTAACAAGCTTAAGTCGTTCGGTGTGATATAGCTAGCTGCCGCCGCGCCGTATGCCTGCGAAGCTGGTGTCTTACGCTGAAGGGTGGTTATACTGGCTATACAGATACAGATACAGATTGTTGTGCCTGTAGGATAGCGGAGCAGGTGAGGAGAGAGGTGGGAGATGTGTCCATCCTGGTGAACAACGCCGGCGTGGTCTGTGGGAAAACCCTGCTGGAGCTGCCGGATGAGGGGATCGAGAAAACCTTCGCAGTCAACACACTGGCTCACTTCTGGGTAAGGCATAGGGAAAATTCTGGGTAAAGGCTTGTACAAGTCCTTCTCCTTAAACATAACAAAACAATCACACTTAAACTGATTAAGTTAATGTTATTATTATGTTTCCTGTTTCGGACCTGAAAATTCTTTTTTTATCTTTACCGAAGGAAAACATGTTGTTTTTGCTATGTTTCTTCTTCTTCTTTTCGAAACACTGACCTCTGACCTGGTCAAGGACCAGACTGTCTCTCACCAGTGTGACTAGTGTTGGGTTATATCATGTTGCAATGTTATAGTAGGAGGCACTTCGACTCTTGTCACTATATATGTGAGATCCACAAAAAAAGGCTAGGGTCAGCAGTTTTTTGTAGGGTCAGTCGGGAAACAGGAAACACAGCATTTTTTCCTAGGCCTGAGGCAGAACAAACAACTCAGACCAGACAATTAGGCAAGGGAAAATTAATGTTGTGTTTCCAGGTTCCAGGTTTCCAGTCCTGAATGAAATTAGGGTCTGTATGGGTAAAGAATCTCTTCTTTTTTTTGTTTTTAGTCTTCCTTTTCTTTTAGATTTCGGCTGAAGTTATCCAACAAAAATACAGTTAAAAAAAGTAATCAGTGAAATGCATTAGCCTGGTGACCATACTCAACAGGCTGGATTAGGGGTGCACTGGCTGGCCAGAGTTTGTTTGACACCCGATCATTGCAGCCACATAGCATGGTGACCGTACAGGGCGGCAATATACCAGGGCTGTCTCCAGGACCAGTCCATCCATTTTCTTGTGGGGAAGGGACAAATGTTTCAGGAAATGTTGTGAATATTACATGATGTGACATATTTCTAACACAACTCTACATGTATCTCCTGTTTGAACAGACAGTGAAGGCCTTTCTTCCAGGAATGCTGGCTAACAGCCATGGTCACATCATCAGCATAGCCAGTATAGCAGGTCAGTCACACTCAGACAGTTTGGATTTTAGAATTTAATGATCTGTACATGACCTGTAGTTGTGTATAACTGAGCACATTGGCAGAATGTACTGCGCTTGCATGAACCCTGATTTTTCAAATTTTTGTCGGATTTTTTATCAATGTTGCATCAGAATTTTGCCTGTTGCAGAAGATATCTTTTCTGACATAACATTTGGAAACTACAGATGGGATGTCAACCTTGTATGCATTATATATGCAAATACGACCTTATACCGGTATGAGACATTCTGCCAAAGTGCTATGCATAATACATTACAGGTTTTGCGCAGGTTCTGTACGTTATGTCGACGTGCTGTATAACTGTAAGAATCAACACAATTCAGCTGTACAAATGTACACAATTTGTCTTGTATTCATCTGCCATTAATTTATTGAATTGTCCCCTCTTTACCCTCTCAATAGGCCATTACGGCGGTGTGGGTCTGTGCGACTACTCGGCCAGTAAGTTTGGAGCTGTGGGGTTTGAGGAGTGTCTGCGGTACGAGATCAGGCGGACTGAGAAACAGGGCATCTACACCACAGCAGCCTACCCCTGGATCATCAGCACTGGGATGTTTGAGGGATTTTCTCCCAAGTAAGGCATGATCCCTGTATCATAGTATACATGTATGTGTTCAACTCCATCCTCCGTTACATACATGTTTGTACATATCAAGTATCTACATACCCACAATGTACTCACTATGCAGTATCCGATTCTTATTATGTTTACCTTCACAGAAGGAAAGTATATTGTTTTGCTTTGTTTCTTCTTCTATCTCTTCTTCTCCAAACAAATAAGGTCAATGACCTGAGCCAGACATCTGTCACCATGGTAACTGGTGTTGGGGTACATAATGTTGCAATTTTATAGCAGGAGGGATTTAGACTCCTGTCTGACTATATACATGTATATGAACGTGTTTGAGTAAGACTTAACAGAGCAGACCATATGCGAAGGTATTACTACTAAACATTATGCATTTGCTTTGCAAATGTTACCTCTCTAGTTAATGATAAAAATTTTCAACCACCCCCTCCACACACAGGGAAGGCTGGTTACTGCCACCCCTGGAGCCTCAGCATGCAGTGGACTGCATCATGCACGGAATCTTAACTAACAGAGAAGTCGTCTTTGTGCCTGGTATCCTCAACTTCTTCACATTCCTCAAGCCGTAAGTACTATGATCTCTCTCTCTCTATACATGTATATATCCAATTTAACATTTTTTCCCAAAACTGGGGGTTAAACATGCTTGCATCAAGTGTTTTTTTAAGCAAATTTTTTAAAAATCTGAATGATATCATTATGTTTACCATCCCAGAAGGAAAACATATTGTTTTTGCTCTGTTTCTTCTTCCTCTTCTTTTCCAAAGAAGTAAGGTCATTTTCCTGGACCAGACGTTTGTCACCATGGTAACTAGTGTTGGTTTACATCATGTTGCAATTTTATAGCAGGATGGATTTGGACCCTGTCACCAAATATATGTGTTTGAGTAAGACTTTAGAGAGCAGAGCATTTGCTAGGGTAAACATAGCTTACATGTACACTGGCGCTGAAGCTCTGTCAGGACTGGATTTCTAGAGCTGAACCTTCTTTTAGCACTCGTTTGCCAACTTGTTTAAACTCCACTCAGACATTCAGTGCTGAGTATTAAGTCTGTCTCCATGTTACATTTTCAGAGTCCTTCCCATGGACGCCATGTGGGCAGTGGTGAAGTTTTTCGGCATTGATACAGCCATGGACACTTTCAAAGGCAGGAACAAACAGGACTAATTAAAACCTTGGAAACCCAGCCTTATAATATATCCTTCAAGAGTTTCATTTAGTTTTATTTTGTTATTATTAGATGTAGCCTCCTTTGCAGACTTGAGCGGTGTCGGTGTTACTTTTTTGAGGGTAGTGCTGATACACAATTTATACACGTGTTACCAAGAGGGGGTTTACTATAGAGTATACTCTCACATGAGCGCTCTCCCTCAAAAATAACGCTGCCTTCACTCAAGTCTGCAAAGGAGGCTAGTTAGATGAATGATTTATTATAATAATTATATGTATACTATTAAGTTAAAGTTATCCAGAGATGGTTATATAAGTGTTCCATCTAATGTATATTATGTGTAAGTTATGGAAGAAGACAATGTCATGTACCTGTAGTTTTCTAGCTGTTTAACCTTATCATTATAGTAATCATGAATTTAATGACTGTGTGATAAGTAAATCAATGATGCGTAATTGTGATATAAGACATATACTTTACATTGAAGTCCACATTTTTAATTGCTTAATTTGTGAATTATGTCATGTGCCAAGTTGGCAGCTATAGAGCAAGGCTGCGTACGTAATAATTTAACTCATCAACATAATTATGTTGCTGTAAACTTCCTCAATAACAATGAAACAGTAATAAACTTAACAGGGCTTTATTCTTCTTAAATTTCTTCGTAACTTCCTGTCTCCAAAAAGTTCTGTTTGGTTCACATGTCTTCCATGTTGCACTACTAGTACGCTTATGATTATATTATTGTCTTGACTCCAGTAACTACATGGAAATTTGTAAAAGCGGCTGCCTTAGCCACGGCTACATCCTATGCTGTCTTATGGTTTTACTTCGCTGGTACATGGTTGCATCAAATGATTGGTTACTCAGTTGTCCTGACAATTTTACAATCTCATGCATTGTGCTCATACATGGTTTATATTGTTGTTGTTTCTAAAGGTATATTCTACATCATCCACAGGGAAGTGACATAAAACTAGCATATTAATATTGAGGACTACAGTCCGTCAAACTTGCTGGTCCTTGTTTACACCATCCTGAAAACAAAATCACACTGTCATCTCACAGTCTCTTTTGAAATTCAAAATATGGCATGCAGCAGCACAAGGTTTGCTTGCCGAACTTAGGCTTTTCTAAATTTGTTTTAACATCCACATTCATGCAGCTTCTCACTCGACAAATAAGGACCACGCATTAAAATTTATTTAATGACACGCACTGTGCTGACTTGCCAGCAAGCTACACAAACAAACATAATTGCTTCAAACTGCCCACAGCACATGCTTTATTCATAGCCACGTTGTTTCATTCCCAGAGAGCAAGATTTCAGTCAGGTGCACCCCCATCACAACACACAAACATCCACAAGCAGGTGCCCTCCGCGTATGCTTTATTCATAGCCATGTTGTTTTAATGTTCACAGATACTTCCACCAGCTGAACAACTTGCAACCTCTGAGTGCATGCACTGTACATGATATCTATTGCATTTCCAGATATCTCATGAGTCATGGCAGCCAGACTGATATCATTAGCACCATTCACATTTGTGCAGTTTCTTACTTGACACATAAGGACCAAGCATGCATGAGAATTTATAGAACGACACACACTGTGCTGACATGCCAGCAAACTACAAACACTGTCCACAAACACATCTATAGCCATGTTGTTTCATTCCCAGAGAGCAAGATTTCAGTCAGGTGCACCCTCATGCTGACAGAACGTACCACGTCGTGCTTCCTCTTGTTTCCTCTCGCGTGATACCACGAGACTTCCACCAGCTGGACGACCATCCCTACTGCAATCCCTCCAGCCAGGAACAGGAACAACCCAACGAAACTCTCGGCTCCAAGTACACCCATGTCTTCCACCGTCTTCCGTGTGTCCGAACAGATATCCTCGTCATTGTGAGATCCCATCAGCCACTGTTTCTCCAGCATTTCCAGGTATCCTTCCTGTCGGAGGAATAAAATCTCCCAACTGATCTCGTCTTTGTAAACGGATCCTTTGGGAAAAAGGATGCCAAAGCCGTAGGTGAAGAACTTCTGTCCGACCATCTGAAGGTTGCAGAGTTGCTCGTAGTGGCCATGTTGGACCGAGGTGGAGGTGATAAAGGCATACTTGTCGTCCTGGACCGCTTTGGTCAGACCTTTTTTGTTTCCGCTGACGAGATTGGTCCTGTTCTGTTCCTAAAGACAATGAAATGCGCCAAATTATTCAACCCCAGTAAGTCACAGAAAGCAATTCTTATGTTTATTTTACCAGAAGGAAAATATATTGTTTTTGCTCCATTTCTTCTTAAGTTCCAAACAAATAAGGTCAATGACTTGGACAGGAAGTCTGTCACCATGGTAACTGGTGCTGTAGCAGGCACCTTGTGCTGTTGGGTTACATTATGTTGCAAGAGTAAGAGTTAACACAGCAGTAGTTTGTAATAGGCTAGACAAGGTGAGGTAAACATTCTACATTTGCTTGCAAATGTTACCTCTCATGTTTAGAAGAAGCATTAGGACATGCAAAACAAATGTGAATCATGAAATAATCAATGTAGACACACTACGTTTGTTTTCCTACCTCAGTGTATTTCCACATTGTGGCATACGGTTCAGTTGTGCTCGCTCTCATGAAGTCATTGATAGAGTAGGATCCAACCCACCCATAGGACATCTGGAATTCAAGCACAAGACATAGACAAGTAGGGCCACAGAGCAGTTCTTTAACTGTAGCAATGATATCACGACTTCCCCTGTAGTGAGTGGTCCTCTTTCAATGCAGCTGTATACTTCCCAGCTAGTTCTGCTGGCAGAATTTACGGATAGTACGGACTTATAAATATTAAGAATTGTGTGACTGCGCTAGGAATCATGGTTGCCATCAAAGATATCACCCATATTGGACCAATGTGTTTACAAAAAACTTAGTCATTTTGATACACATAGTTGGTAACCAGCAGTGTGATAGGGAAAATCCTCCTGGATAATTTTAACGCTTGCCTCATCCCGATTGGCCAGATTTGTGAGCGAGCCGATCGTTGGTTGGTCGGCGCTCCCGGTCAGGAAGGCGGCGAGGTTCGCAGTGTAGGAGGCCACGATCACGGTCATGAAGAACCACCACGCACCGCTGATGAACCTGGTGGGGGGGACAAATAAGAGCATTTAGTGGTTAGGATTTAATTTGCGCTCTCACCGCCAAGGCCCAGGTTCGATTCCCGGTGTCTGAACCAGTGAAACAATAGGAGCAAGTAGAAATGTGAAAACCCCTGACTCCCGGACCTCAGGTCAGCTTATGACAGCAGCGCGCTAACGACCACTCCAAAAATGGGCGGTTATACTTAACATATACAGAAGAGGTGATCTAATGAAACCTTTGCTTGGACATACAAAAGACCATACTAGGTACAATGTGACAAGGCTTCTCGGGGCCATTTCTCACCATTCCACACGCGTGGAACTGTGAGAAATGGGTGTGGAACGGTGAAATATATCCCGTAGAAGCCTTATAGGAATGTACCTATGGTCTTTCATATCGAGACTAGTTCCTAATTGTACGAAAGACCATAGGTGCAATAGATTCACCGGGCAATTTCTCATTGTTACACACCCATTAACTAGTAAAATTGCATATAAAAAAAAAAAAAACTAGTAAAATTGCAAGGCCTTACCTCCCAGCAAAGGATTGTGGGACAGTCACCGCTCCCTGCTGTGCAAAAGCACCGTAAACGTTCCAGAGGCTGTTCCAGGGAAGGTACGTTCCCCCCTCCTGTGGGGAGGCCTCGCCGCGCTTTGCTAGCCAGAACCATTCGTACGGGTTAACTGCATTTACCACACTGTAGAACAAAGTATAACAAAGATACCAGTACATGGACAGAAAGTAATTTCATCAGGTTGGTAGAACATAGGATATTGTGATTTCATATATACGAAGACAGGGATTTTTCCTATACCTAATGCTTATGTTTCGATTGACAGAGGACAATAGACGTATTCAATTAAGGAGGTTAAATACAAGCTCCTTGATCAGATGGATCAAAGAAATAGTCTGGCTAAAAAAGTCAACCCCAGTGATGAACCGGGACGAGGGGGGATACAAACTTAGCCTTGTTTGGGATTGTGTTCTGTCCACAAAAGCGCCACCTACATCTGCTACAGACAATGGCAGAATTACGGTCAGAAGCTCTGAGGAAGGTGCCTGAAAGACCAAGGACATCCTTGGATAGACATCGAAACGTAAGTAAGGTAGGACGAATCCCTGGGCAAAACCTTTTGTTGGGGGCTACATTAGACGTCTACATATCACAGTAATACCATAAATCCTACCTTAGCAGCAGACTGATGGCTATGTACGCGATGCCGATATAAGCCCACACCTGATAGGAGAAGGGGCGTAAGAAAGCCTGGATGCCCACGTGACTTTGCTCATGCCTTTTCACAAACATGGCGTAACCTACAATAGAAGGACAGATATACCTTAGATTTTTTTATTACAAATAATGTATAAATCAGGTCTGTTCTCTAAGTCACAAAGCATGGATGTGTCTGAACATAGCTGCGTGATGCTGCTTTTGGTTTCTTTATTGAGATTCTTTATTGACTCAACAGAAAGCACAGGGGCTGTTAAATAGTATGAATAACGTCTTTCTACCTACAGAATCGTATGTATGCGGCAAACTACGTACAGAATATTTGTCAGCGACAACAATAAAGGTTTAACTATTGTTTAACATGTAGCCACTAAGATTTAAACATTCTTTAATGTATGTCATTATGCTAAAATAAAGAATGTAATAAAAGTAAGTACTGTGACTGGCCACCTACCCAGTTCCGCCAGGAAAGGAGAGACATCGTAGTTCCGCAGCAGACCGGGCCGCACGGGCTTAGCGGCGAGAAATATGTCTGCCTGAAAATAATACGTATTCAAGCAAAGATGTAGAGCTTTCGACCAGTCACTCTGGTCTTCCTCAGTAGACTGAACAAGTGAGGCTTGTCACGTGGCTTCTCTGAAGTGTGACGTCAACAAACACGTCGGCAGAACGTACTGCGCCTGCGCAGAACCCTGAATTTTCGCGGTTTTCGTTGGATTTTTGGTCAACGTTCCATCAGAATTTTGCTTGTTGCAGACGATATGTTTTCCGACATGACAATTGAAAGTACTGTCGGAATGTTAACCTTATATGAGCAAATACGACCTTATATGAGACGTTCTTCTGAAGTGCTATGCACAATGCATTACGGGTTTTGCGCAGGTGCAGTACGTTCTGCCGACGTGCTACGTCAACACTGGGTCAAAGATATCTGGTATATGTCTTACTGAGAACGACCAGAGTGACTGGTCAAAAGTTCTTAGTGAGAACAATTAATTTTTGTGTTGGAACAACAGTTTTACTTTTAAACATCAATACTAATTGCTTTATAACATCCAGTCGTAGTCAAAAAACAAGTCTTACTCTTCCCTTGACCCTCTCCCGCGTGAGAGCACCCCAGCTGAAGGTACGGTTCATGACCACGTCTATGCTGAAGTTTCTCCTCAGCGCTGCCATCTTCAGTACATCCACGGCCAGACCCTCGAACTGATGAATCCCCACATAGTCCAGGAAATCCTTCTTCAACATCACCCAGGGATGGTGCTGAAAAAACATAACCCGGCATCGTCACAGGGGGCATACGAGGCAATTCAATATGTAACGTTATAGAGATGTTTATTGCAAATTCATGCCCGAGGGCTAATTGCATACAGACATTAACAAGAAGGATGTGGTGATATAAGACTATTTGCTAACATGAACTTCTACGTGCACGATATACTTATCGAACCTACTATCTCTACTTAAACCTAATAACGTTGGTATACATACAGGGTAAAAAGTAGATATACAATATGTGACCAGGTAATAGGAACAAAGTAACTGCTATTCTAATCTATTCTATTCTAGATCTATTCTATCTATTAAACTATTCTTGCCATGCTGTTAGGGGGTTTGACTTCTTCTCAGGAGGCAGTGGGAGATGAATTGTCCGACTCTTTGAAAAATAAATGGGTTGGGAGACTTAAGCAATAATATAGTCTTTTGTTGTTGGTTGAGATATGAAAAACTTGGGGAAATATTGGCGACTTCTTTGAATAACTTTACATATATGTATATATATGTACTACTGAGAGTCGCCTGTACATTCAGTCCCATTGAATAAAGTAAGAATCTTGGACACAGAATCGGATTTTTTTCGCACGAGGGATTAAAGAGGCCATCTACATCAGGGCATTACAACCATTCCCCAACAGAGACGGGGGGCGCCATAGACTTTCTGCAACCTATGATCCACTGATCATGGAGTCACGTGTTTTATCTGTGTGACGTGACGCTCATTCCTTGAAAACAACTCTAGCTGTACAGTCGAAAATTTGGATGAGTTCAATTTCTTCTGTTGGCAATTGCAGTTCATAACTATGTTTCATAAGTATAAAGAAGCAATTTCTCACCAAGAAAACCGCCACACGGAGAGGTCGTCCTTGGAACGCAAAAGAAGGACTCTGTACAGGAGCTGGCTCATGGCGTTGGATACCGACTCCTCTGGTCCATGTACCAACCTGTGAACACAAGACGTATCTCCAAGAAGAGGTTTATTTTAGCGTTTTTAGGCGTTTTTATCGGACTTTCTCAAGTTTTTGTACTGGTATCTTTTGTTCACGCCAGCCTATTAAACGGATGGCAAATGGTAACTGTCAGTGGCAAATGGATACTTCATAAACAGTTACTCAGGCAAGTGGATATGGTTTTGGAAACGATCAGACTTTTCAGATAGCATCCAGTACCTTTCGGAAATGGATACTGCCTGGCCAATTTGATACTGTCTTCGCAGTCTTAAAGATCTGCTTGGAGAGTAAAATTTTACACAGAACGGGGAGTGAAAATTGTTGCGAGCGGAGAACTAATAGACTCTATCGTTTGCCAGATTTTTGATTCGTCATGAACAGGATAAGAACGTTCCAAACCTCGGCCATTTTCCCCTCCAGAGGTTCCAGTACCCAGACCGTGTCGTCCCTCCTGGCGCCGGTCTTGTCAAACGTCAGGACTCCCGTACGTCCGGGGGATCTCCCCTGTAGGAATCAGACATGTGCGGATGGCTGGAGTAGAATGTTTCTAATTATAAGACCTTTGCACGAGGTAATTCTAGTCTCCACCAGACTCCTTTTCAGGCTGAATAAATAGTAGAAATCAGCTAAGGGGGACATCATTGGCCAGAGGAGTTGGCCGGCCATAGAGGGTCCAGCTTGCCTGCATAGACCAATTGGACCTGGAGATGGCCGGGAAACACCTCTGGCCAATTATATGCCTTTTATCATAATTTTAGGCCGATTTCTACGATTTATTCAGCCTGCAAAAGGAGTCTGGTGAGGACTATAAATGTAAACCTTCTAACAAGAACGTACGTACACATATCACAAAAAATGGGGGTAGCTTTCATTGTTTCAAAGACGCCGTCATGACCTAAAGAGTCTTACCTGACGAATAGAGTTGAGCAGAGTTCCATCCTCACACCACGTGGTCCTGTCTGCTGAGGCGCCGTCACTTAGAACCTGGGAACGGAAATAATCGTACAGAAACTTTTATATTCCAGTCTCAAAATATGAGGATAAGAAAAGGAGGTTTAGTCGATAATTATCATCGATATGACCTGAGCGCTCTTCCTAGAGCTACATGTGCAGTGGCTCATGCACGCACACACGCGCACTCACGTACACACATACGAACGCGCATACGTGTGCGCAAGCACGCACGCACACACATACGCACGCACACACACACACGCGCGCGCGCGCGCGCGCGCACGCACACACACAGATACCCCTGTCCTTGGTGCTGAACACACTATCTACACAGAGAGAGAGAGAGAGAGAGAGAAAGAGAGATACGCCTGTCCTTGGTTCTGAACACACTATCTACACACACAGAGAGAGAGAGAGAGAGAGATACCCCTGTCCTTGGTGCTGAACACACTATCTACACACACACACACACACACACACACACACACACACACACAGATGCCCCTGTCCTTGGTGCTGAACACACTATCTACACAGAGAGAGAGAGAGAGAGAGAGAGAGATACGCCTGTCCTTGGTTCTGAACACACTATCTACACACACACACACACACACAGAGAGAGAGAGAGATACCCCTGTCCTTGGTGCTGAACACACTATCTACACACACACACACAGAGAGAGAGAGAGAGAGAGAGAGAGAGAGAGAGACCCCTGTCCTTGGTGCTGAACACACTATCTACACACACACACCTACCTTCCTCACTCCCGCCGCTGTCGCCATGACGGCGTCATGGACCAGGTCGTCTTCTAAGTCACTGCCGGGTTCTGCTGTCTCTTGGTGCAGACGCAGTGCCGTAAAAAGCACGTCGGTGTTTGTAAACCTGTCCAGTATCTCTGGATTCTTACCCTGTAGAGACACAAGAACATATGTTAGCAACATCATCAACGACATACAAGAACATACAAGGCCTAGCTCTGCCAGTTCAGAGGTGTCTCAACACATCCACATAGAGTCACCCGGACATTTTGTTTCACTTGACACTGTAAGGATTTTAGACACTGAACAAGACTATTTCTTGAGAGGGGTGAAGGAAGCCATATACATCAGGGCCCATCACCCTACATTGAACCGCGACAGGGGCCGACATCGTCTAGCAGATACCTTTGACCCAGTGTTGACGTCACACTTCAAAGAAGCCACATGACAAGCTTCACTGGGTCAGTCTACTGAGGAAGACCAGATTGACTGGTCGAAAGCTATAGGTGAGAGAATTTTTTGTGTTGGACCAAAAGTCTTAACTTTAAACATGTAACTACCATGTGTGTGTCGCAACTTCTGAAAAACGTATCAGATACAGCAAGGGCCTGCATGGAAGATGATCACAGTTACTTAGCCTCTACCAGGCTTCGGGAGGCGGCTGGAAAGAGCAGATATTTACCAAATAGACAGATAACATGGTGGTGAGTTGGTCCTCTAGAAAAGTACATCTCTCTATTTGGTCGATTTCCTATCTTTCCAGCCGCCTCTCGAAGCCTGGTAGAGGCTAAAGCGGTTACTTACAACTTCCGGGTTTGTTATTATCCAGTGCGATTCGCCGTTGAGGAGAAGCATAGAGGAAGCCTGGAATGATAGAGAGCAACAGCTTTAATACTTACATATGAATAAAACGTATGGTTTTTTAAAAGGTATCTATCTAAATGTGAGTCAGATTATGTCAAGTAGAAGTAACAAAAGCTATTAAACTGTATCTGTATCTGTATCTGTATAGCCGGTATAACCGCCCTTCGGTGTAACACGCCAGCTTCGCAGGCACGCAGTGCGGCGGCAGATAGCTACACCGAACGACTTGTTACACCTAACCCTTGAACATCTAACTCTAAACATTGTTCAAAACCATCTAATGATAATGCCCCTTCTGTACTTGGTGACAGCGAGTTCCACCCTACGATAGGAAAGAATGAGTTGAACATACCAGTTCCAGCACAGCTTTGGTCACACCCAGCCCACAGTGCAGTATGAAAGTCGTGATGTGGTGTGATTTGCGCAATTTTCCGATGACATCTTTAGTTTTCTCGATGTCTAAGGTGAGGTCTGGCTTGGTCTTGACGTTCGTCTTTAACATCAGCCAACCTTTCAGTGACACTGCGTCTGACAGTCTCTCCAGAGAGCGGAGACCTACAAGGGAGAATTACAACACAACTAGAAAGGTAACATTTGCAAAAGCAAATGCATAATGTTTACCTTCACATATACTCAAACACATTCATATATATTATATGGTGACAGGAGTCCAAATCCCTCCTGCTATAAAATTGCAACATGATGTAACCGAACACTAGTTACCATGGTGACAGACGTCTGGTTCTGCACCCACCTGTGGAATCATCATACAGTACCACGGCAGACCGCCAGGAGTATGTCGTCATCAGGTCCAGGATGACGTCATGCAGCACGCGGTACAGTGGTGCAATATACAGGTCTGCCGCTAGGGGCCAGTGCGGCGCTGCGGTCAGATGAAAGCGCGGGACCAGTTTAGTCCGGTTTTGTGACGAGGTTTCGCGGGTGTCGGAGTTGGGTGGAATAACGAGCACAGCACAGGCACCGTCATCAACTAACCGCTGTTCTGTATGATACATGAACGAAAATATCGGACTCATACAGTGTACTTTGATATAGCATAAACTTGGATAAACACACAATGTCAATGCACCATAAGAGCCGGCCTGTCACACTTTGTCCTTTTGTGTTGACTTTATGTACTTCTTTTTGAGTTGACAAAAAAGACACTTTTATTCCTGACCTAGCATGAAAGTTCACGGTTATTCACGTCAGAGACACATGACCGTAGTAGCGGGTCATACATGCCAGATAACTTGTGTCGCCCCCCGTCACTACGGTCACATGTCTCTGACGTCAGGTTCCAATCGAAGACTGGTCCATTCCGTGAACAAGATTGAGTGAGACAGCCGAAAAATTTGGGGGTAAATCCCAATTCATTGTAGTGTTGGCAGTTAAAGTTTAGTCTTTATTTCATTATTCCTGACCTGCTTGGTGAAAGCTGAAGACGTTTCCGTCGGTGACAAGTTGATGCTTGACCTCTACTGTGAGCCCTGGACTGAGATCTTGTAGATCCGAGTTGACTTGTGCGACGGCCGCTTCTGTAGCTCTCTCTAACTTAGTGCTGTTGGAGACGTGAACTACCCCTGGAAACACAGCAAAGTTTGGCGGGATTCGCTATTAAAACTATACAACAGTTTGATGATATCGCTAGTCCAGCTGATTTGATTACCTTCACCAAGGAGGTTATGTTTTCGGTGGCGTTCGTCTCTCTCTCTCTCTCTTCCTCCCTCTCCCTCTCTCTCTCTGTGTATGTGTGTGTGCGTCAACACGATAACTCGAGAAGGCTTGGGTGGATTGACTTGATATTTGGTACTTCTATGTGGGCAGGTCGAGACCTCAAAATGATTAGATTTTGGGCCCCCTGGCGGAAATTCCGGTTTTGATATCTCATGATCTGGACATGCCAGCTAGTGTCACGAATTTTGACTGCTAGATAGCTCTTTTACTCGGGAATAAATAAACTTTTTTTCTATAACTATCGTAGTACAGTTAGACGTACAGTCGTTAAGTGTAACAGGTCATTCGGTATATAGCCAACTGCCACCGCGCCGCGTGCCTGCTAAGCTGATGTGTTACGCCGAGGGGCCGTTATATATGTACCCGCAATACAGACACAGAAGCACATTTTCCTTTCTAGTTTAGTTCAATTTCGTTTTATTGGCAGACGCAACGTATAATGTAGAACTTTATGTTATCATATAGTTTCATACCACTTTTCAATACATTCTGTACATTGTTCTTGTCAATGTCTGTTTGCAATTAGCCCTCGGGCATAAACTTGCAATAAAGAACTTATTAACTTAACTTACAAAAATAGATAAATCCCCAGAATAGTCCCACGGCAAATATATATCCATAACACAGATTTAATTTGAAATGGTGACTTTTTCCGCTTGTCATGACTAATCTTCTGCATGTTCCAGACGGCAGCCATTTTGGCTCATTTTGAAATACATTATTATAGGACTATATATAGCACAAGATGGAAAATCACTTCCAATAACACAAAGAAATGCTCTCTGAGAAATTTCAAACGCAATTTTCCACGGACTACATACATTACTTGTACAATATCATTACAGTGATGACTGTCATTATGTGTGGTTAATTCAAAAACAACAATTTGCACCAAGATTTAGTTTTTCGTCATCCTTGGTTGTATACTGTTATCCGGATTGTGATATATTATACAAAGTAATAAGCTATTCTGTCTACGTCTTCTGCATAGTAAGCCACGCTAGCGCTTGTGTTCTTCCTTTCTTCCCAACGTTTCATACAAGAAAAAGCCTCACCTGTTTATAAATAAGGCTTTGTGTGTTGGTACACCTGTCCAAAAATAAAACCACATCTAAAATCTTCTGCTTTTTTTTTTTTAGAATCCTCCAGTGTCACTGGCGAAAGGTAGTGCATGGATGCTACCTGAAACGTCTGACCGTTTCCAAAATCATATCCAGTTGCTTGAGTAATTGTTTTTTTGGCTTATCTTATATTACCTGGATGTCTAACCTTCACCGATGCAGCTCTCAAATCGGTACCAGTCTGTTATAAGCTGTTCCAGTCAGTTGTTGCCACCGTATTTAATTTCCAAGCAGATCCTACGGTGGCAAATTGACAGTATCAAATTGGCCAGGCAGTATCCATTGGCCAGAGAGGGTCCAATACGCCACCCCGAAGGTCGGTGGGGTAGCGACAAAAACAAAAACGGACCATTTATAAAAGGTAACGATCTTCCCCCATCAACCTCTGCTTGGAGAGTTGCCACCATGTTTCAGAGACACGTACCGTGACACGGAAACTGTGTGACGGACGATTGTTCTGCGTCTTCCCGCTCAGACTGGGCTGCTGTACGGTGTAGCAGACGGGGAGGAGTGCCGAGGCCCGGTCTGTACAGGCTCCGCTAGGGGTAACGGTCCGTCCTGATAGTCCAACTGACACAGAATCGTGTTCTCACACAGGAAAAACTTGTCCCCGACACAGAATCTGTGATTACAACGCTGACAGGCGAAACAGTCCAGATGATAGACGTTGTTTCCTGCTCTCATCACGATCTCGAAGGCGGGAATAATCTTGGAACAAACCGCGCAAGATCCCGTCGTTCCAAACAGTCTGAGATAGTCTCGTCTGCAGAGTATAAGGTTCGCTTTGGTGAAGAGAGTGGAGCCGACTTCTCCCAGCCGACATTCGCAGCACGCGCATTTCAGACAGTCCTCGTGCCAGAACTGATCCAACGCTTTGAGCAGGTAGCGGTCTTTTATCTTCTTCTTACACCCGGCACAGCCGTGGCGGACCACCGACTCGCTAGGCTGTTCCATGCGGGGGGAAGGCTCACCAGCTCCGAGGACGAGCCCGAGTGGTACGCGGTGATGTTTCAGAGGATGATTCTGCATGCAACTCCTCGATAAGACTGCTGCATGAACTAGCACGCACATCCCTGCATATGACGCTTTCCCACGGCGGCGTTTATTAACGGGGAGAGAAATTAGCGTGTCCTGCGGTTGTAGGTCCTCCACAGGTTGAACGCGGGGCTCTTTTCAATAAACCTGGAGCATTATTCAGTCCCGCTGAATGGTCCAAATCAATCTTCAACACAATAGGGCACGCTTATCGCTCCACCACAGACGGCGCTCCCAACCGCGAGTAGAAAAGCGAGGAAATTAAAAGACCGCGTGTTGGAGGCTGATAAGGGGGTTACGGCTTAGCCGCCTGCGCCCGGGTGATAGAAGCCATCTATCCGAAATATCACTCGCCGATTGGTGCATGGCTGCATGCCATTACGCGGAGACGGGGAAACTAGGAGGAGAGGTAATTTGTACTACTTGGGAAGTTCTGGCGAGGATTTTGGATGTCTTTACTTGTACGGGGGACAGTTAATTAGGGATGAAGGGTGGGGTAGAGATGATTGGCTCATCGCGACTAGTTTCTGGGGGAGAGGGAAGGGAGGTAAAGCGTGGGGGCGGGGGAAAAGGTGGTGAAAAGGGAAGGGGGTTGGAAAAGGGAGGGGAGGGAAATTGGGTTGGGGAAGGGGAGATTGAGAAGGAGAGAAAAATTTATTTGTTTTATATTATGAATTTCTCTGTTATAACAGTGCTGGCGAGATGAATGTTATAATATACTTTTGAATATTTGTAAGCAGCCAATAGGCTTTGAGAGATTCTTATTTTTGATAAACTAGTCATTCATTCATTCAAAAAAGTATAGAGGCGAAAAGTGAAGAGTATATTTCTCTAATTCTCAATTACACATGATGTTACAAGTTTGAATACTAGTAGTTCTATCATGGAACGCAGCAGATTTATAGAATTTCGCTATTAATTATGCAAATAAGACCCGTAATTGCATAAGCGTCATCTGATTATGCCAAAAATCACTTAAGCTGCCTATCTACCAAAAAGCATGACGACCCGTTGACGGGATCCCCGGAGCAAACGCCACTGCAGTTCCAGGACAAGCCGCTATATGGCCCCCATAGCCTCTTCCTGAGTACAAGAGCTATGTACAAAGCCGGAGTATATGTCGAATTAAGAGGTAACAAGAAACAGATCAATATGAAGACGTTGCATAAGAATTATATATGATATACATTAATAATTCAAGGAATTATGCAACATAAACTCGCATTAACAGTCTGACTTTGACCTGCAATGGCTGAATTATCCGCTGTGTTGTGTCTGAGAAACGGATTACAACGATGACAATGATTTCTTTCTTGACACATGATTTTTTTTTTCAGTTGAAGCTAAAACACTGTTTTCCAGTCCAGTTTGCGAACCAAGTATTGATAAAGCATAAAATGTCCACAAATGTTGTCTTTCTGATGTATTGAATTGAAGGCAGACATGGGACAGACAGAGGTGGATGTCGCAAGCTTCCTTAATGCTTGGTTATTGTCATCTATGACCAAAAAAAAAAAAACAACAACTGTAAGGTGGTAGCCTCTACCAGGCTTTAGGAAGGGTAAATCCCAGAAAGAGTAGAAATTGCCCAAATAGACAGGCCAGGGGAGTTGGTCCGCGCTAGGAGAACGAACGGTTAACGTTCGGGACTCTTCCACCGCTTCCCGAAGCCTGGTAGAGGCTAGTAGTCATTAAGGTGGCACAATGGCCGACTCATACACAGAGTATATTTAACTGTTTGGGTAGAAACCTGACTTACCTAGAACTATGGCCTCAGCCGACGTCCCGCCTAGACCGGCATACAGGACAGCCAACACAACAACACACAAAACTTTGGACGACATCATGTCAACTGCAACTGTCTCAGAACAGCCTGACTTCAAAATGTTTAGTCTTCCTGCGTCTAAAAAATCGGCTCAGAAGTCATATCCTACATCTTCTTATTCTTCGAAGACTTCGTCAAACTGTCCCAAACATCGGCCCAGCCAGAATAGGACCCCAGACCTTGCCTTTAAAAGGGGCATACCATTATGCTCGAGGGGGCTCCAATTTCTAACTCACAGCTTACAACTCTTTTATCAACGACCTATTATTTCTAAAAAAAAAAGAAAAAATGTACAAAAAACAGCCTCACCGAGTCAAGTAAAAGCTATTGAGGAAGAAAAAGTTTTTCAAGCAGATTATGAATAAAATCGTCTCTAGGTTACACTATGTGCCCCTATAGAACTCACGTCTATGTGATCGGCATAATTTGTCTGTTCAACCGTGACCGGGGCATGATCCTACAAGTGGCCGTGCATACTAAATACGAGTAGTGCTGATGTAATTTGCGCGTGGCCTGGTTCAACCGTTGTATACGCACACGACAGTGTTAAGATTAAGAAGTACTTAGAAATAGTTCTTCATGTCTCTTTGCTGCTGACTCTAGTAGCCTGGGTACCATCCGGATTTTCGCTACGCAACGCTCGAAAAAATCACGAGCGTTGCGTAGCGAAAATCCGGATGGTACCCAGGCTAGACTCTAGTACTGTGTAGTAAAACTCTGGTCGCAAACTTCGCACCTACTTACAATGTACCAATCGGCCAAAATCCCAAATGTGTCAGTGATTAGACTTAATTGTTTCTTCTTCTTCTTAAAACAAATAAGGTCCATGACATGAACCAGACGTCTGTCACCATGGTAACTAGTGTTGGGTTACATCATGTTGTAATTTTATAGGAGGGATTTAGACTCCTGTCATCATATATATTTTATTTTATTTATTTATTGAAAATGCAACAAGACATTACACTGACTCTCAAGGCAGCAAAGCTGATGTTAGAGAGTCAACACATAAGGACAAAACATATAGGGCACATAATATCAACAGTGTGAAATTACAAAAAAAATGATCATAAGAACCTATATCATTCCAATTAGCCGAGTAAATATATGTACACATCTAAAATAACACATTTGGAGGTCAGAGGTCGATAAAATAAGTCACAGTCAGACTACCTTATATGAGAAAAAAAAAGGATACTAAATAACAAGGTTAGAAAGGAACAGCTGGAAGTGCCTAGAAACGATTTGTTGAAGTGATGTAAGTGTGGAAGGAGTGTGAGAGGCTTTCGTTTAATGTGATGTCATTGCCCGGGGACCCGTTGAGTAGAACGCTGGTGGAGAGGGGCCGTCTCACGTCTCATATATATGAATGTGTTGAGTAAGAATTAACAGAGCAGATCATATGTAAGGGTAAACATTATGTATTTGCTTAGCAAATGTTACGTTTCTAGTTGCTTCTGCTGTCATATGACTGATGATGCCATGTATATCTTACATATGGAACAGTCAAAAGTCTGTTTTTGCTTCACCATAGATGCCTTTAATAAGTGGTAAGGATAACATAGCCCACACACATGTATGAGTATATGAGCAACAGTCTACATCGTACTCTGCACAAGTTCTGAACACCAACTGCAAATTAAGTAACATTTCAATAGTTTGTTTCTTCTGTTGAGTTGCTGGCTTTAAGATACTAGTATGACTTGAAAATGACTTGAAAACCAAGATTCCCTTAAAATATTTGTGACAAAGCTACACCTTTAACAGATGTGCCAAGAAATCTCTTTACATTTCTTGGCATGGGAACTCTTTAGTTCTTATTGAACATCTTTTTTTTTGTTTATTACTAGTAACTTTAAAAAAAAGAGAACTAATGACATGGGTGTAGTTTAATCTCTAATATGTAAGAACTACATGTAGAAAGCAGAAAGTGCTTAAGAACATGTTGCTTCTAGGTGAGAGCAATGAAAATGTTCAGTTTTTGCAGCAGAACATACGTTTCTGATCTTTTAATTTCAACGCTTACGCTATCTTGAAAAGCATGGGAAGCATTACAAGAGGTTTACCATATCTATGAGTAAACCCAAAAGACTAAGTATTCAAGTATGTACTAGCCATTTCTCATATCGAGAGCAAGAGATGTAAACATTGGGAAAGATAGTGTATCGGCTAGCAGCTCAGCTGCTGGTATTGGTGTGAAAGAACCGGGAAGTTCTTCACAGCTCAGAGACTAGTCTGAGTCGGACTGCGAGCCGGGCGTTGTCCGTTCGATGTCGCGAATCTTCTGCTTGTGCCGCTCAATGGCCTCCTTGTGGCGCTTGATGTCCAGTTCCCTCTGACGGATCTCGTCCGCGTGGTGCTTCTTCAGCTCACCAAGCTGCTGCTGTTGCTGTGGAAGAAAAAAGAAAAACAATTTGCACGGTTCTTAGTGCTAAATATGCAGATCTTGGCACATGTAGTGACACTTAATCTGTTTGTGCCCTCAACAGTGTTTGGACACAGTATCAACCATTAGCCGAAAGGCCCGGTGGGCATCACTCCATGGTATAGGGAGGGAAGTCATGTAAAGTGCCTTTTCCAAGGACACAACATGTACATGTATTCAAGTTACTGTAGATGTCCGTACCATTCGACGGAAGTACATCTCTTCTTCTGCCACCTCCTTCTTCCCTAAGGTTCCACCTGCCTCTCTGGAAACAACATTACAGGAATTAACAGACATATCAGGACTGGCAGAGAGCATGTATGTAATTTTTACTGCACTTGCACCAGTGCAAGTAGCTTTACAGACCACTAGAAATATCCAGTAAAGAATTAAATGTAAAAGAAAAGCAAAAACCAGTAACTGATGCTCATTGTTATATGGAAATGCATCTATCAACTGCTCCTTATGTGTGCCTAGACAGGCTGAAGGTGTATTTTTCTGTACCTGATGGAGCCACCTGCACCACCTCCCTGGAAAGAGAAAACAGATCATAAATGATATTGTACATGTTTGTATCAGTCCTGCATGAAATTGAGGAAAATGAATTACTAGCATGTACTTATTTTATCACTCATCTATCCTAGCTTTACTGGCACAAACAGCACTACAACCATTATGCTGCTATGTAGATCAAATAACTCAGATTTTAAGTCGTAACTGAAGTTATGGCTTATTACATGAGGTTCATACTGTGCAATCTACACAGTAAGAGTGCTGTGAAATACTAGTATGACTAGTATTAGTAGTAAGCTACAGTAGATTACTTACCTTGCCTGATCCAGATCCTAGCTCACCTAATCCATTACTCATCATCCGAGGCCCAAGGCTGGACAAACAAACAAACAAACAAACAAACAAGGTAAGTCATAATGTATACAGAAGTGAACTACACATGGACAGGTAAAATGGTCACTGGCAGTGGCACAATGCTGTAAATCATTATCATGTGTGAGGGCTGGAAATACTGTGTGCATGTGCACCTTAGTGCACCCAGATTTGGAGCTGTGCACCCAGTTTTCTTCTGTGGGTGCACCAACTGCAACCAAATATTTTTGTAGGTTTACGTCTGTAAAGATATTAAATGTATAGTAGTATTATACAGCATGTTCTTAAAATCCTGTGTTTAGAAATGTAACATAATTAGTTTTTGCTGAAATCCTACTTGTTTTATCTTTAATACATGGTGCACTCAAAAAATTTTGTGCACTCAATTTTTTAGGTTGGCCAAAATGAGTGCACCAATGCACCTATTCCCAAAATGAATTTCAAGCCCTGTGTCTACTGGCCAATGCTATAGTATAATGTATACTTTCTGTAGTACTTTTGAGACTGCAACGAAAGTGGTAAAACATTTGGAGTTGTACAATTTCCCTTGCTGCACGACGAAATTATTACGTCGTGACGCTGCAAGATTTTTTCGAGGTCAAAATAATATCTTGACATTGTGAACGCATGAGGCAACAACGCAACTCAATTTTGACACACCAATACAGCACTTTACATAAGTTTTTCGGCTAAATTTGCAATGTGGCTACTTTCTTGAGGTCCTTATGTACATGTAGGCCGGTGACATTGTGTGATTTTGTCATAAAATTAACCTACTTGTAAAGTCCAAAGACGAAAGGACGAACTCGCACTGCTCGAACCAGCGACGCCATCTTGAAACTTACCCACAATTCCAGACAGGGCGAAACCAACGTAAAATCGGTAAGGTCAAAGAAAGATGAAAATCAAGAAGTTAATAAAACAACCCCAAACGTTTTTAAAACTTCTTTTTCAAAATGTTTGCTTTAATATGTCATTATAATCTTTAGATATTGTTTGTAAAATATGTATAACACCTTATGATATGTTTATTTAAACGAATTAATCTTTCACAAGCCCCTCAAAGAAACAAAAGATAGCATGTCTGTGTTAGTCTCATGGGTTGGTAGTACTGAAGTAAGATTTCTGTCCAACTCAGCTAGTTTCCTGTTTCTAAACTTTCGTTCTGAGGCTATGTTTTAATCAATTCACCCCTAAATAGGAGGACAAGTGAACTAGCGATGTACCTGCAGAAGAGAACAGTATCTTACAGTCGTACTCAGGCCGGAAGTTACTCAAGACTAACTTGCGATGTGAGCATGTGATACTTGGCGTGGGAAAGAAAGTTGGAGAGGACTTGATCAGCTGACAGTTCCCAAATAAATCAGGTACGGGTTAAACAACAGGCAACTTGTGCTGTTATTGGTAAAATTATGGATTAGTAATGTAGCTGGACTCCATTATCTATTCACCAATTTTCGTTTCTGTACATTATTGTTGAGTGTGTTTATTAGTCTCCACCAGACTCCTTTGCAGGCTGCAGTTGGCAAATTGGCCCTACTAAGGCCTGCAAAGGAGTCTGGTGGAGACTAGGTACTGTGTTAGGTACTATACTTAACACAGTATATGGCAAAGTTGGTCCTACCCTGGCTGGCTAACTCCCCTGGTCAATTATATCCCTTTTACTTTCAGGCCGACTTTACAAAAGGAGTCTGGTGGAGACTACTCGAATATGCCTTTACTTTTTAGCACTGTGAGCTGTGCCACTGAACTACGTGTACTTACATACAAGTACTGATGGCTTGACCTGCTTCCCAGTAACATTGGGATAAAGGTAAATATGTATTTGTTGTTACTTTCTCAATGTTATTGTCGCCTTGATTTTGAGCTGATACAATAGTGATGATATTGATGTTGATGAAGATGAACTTGATGATGGTGTTGATGATGATGGTTTCACATGACTCACAGCCCTGCTTTGCCCCTCACACATGCAGGCCAGTTGTAGTCTCCACCAGACTCCTTTGTACACTGAATAAATAGTAGAAATTGGTCTAAAAGAATGTAGCTTGCCAGGGGAATTGGCTGGCCAATAGAGGGTCCAGTTACCAAGAAGATACTAGTAACAAAGTTTGTGTCTGTCTGCCTGTCTTTCTGTTGAACTCACATGTACAGTGCAGGCAAACTATGGCTGGCCAACTCCCCTGGCCAGCTACATTCTTTTTAGGCCAATTTTTACTATTTATTCAGCCTACATAGGAGACTGGTAGAGACTAGGCCAGGTGGACTTTGGATAGCAAATGGTAGCTGCCTGGCCAATTTTACACAGTAACTCTCTTTTCAGCCACCAAAAGATCTGTTTGGAGTTTATACTACTGGCATGATGGCAGCTGGACAGACAGAAGACTTGGCCTGGAGTCCAGGTGACCTTGACATGGGTCCCAAGGACATGCTGCTCCACTGGTCCAGGAACGGGAAGGTCGAACTGGTGGAAGATCTGCTGAGAAGTAGACAGGAGGGGAAGCTACAGCTGGATCTCAACTGTAAAGGTGTGTAGTACGTGGTTCATGTTAGTTGAAAGAATAAACTCTATTGCTCGACAGTCGTACAGGTTATACAATAAGACTTTTTATAACTACAGCAATATGAATGCAAACGTAGGTGGTTCGTGTTAGTTTCATACTCTGTACATAGCTACTAGAGTAGACAGTTTTACAACTTTGCCATTTGAAGGAATACTATAATAACTAATGAATGAATGAATAACAACACAACATTTATTGCACATTTTTGCCACACTTGGCCAAGTACGGGTCACAACAAAACAAGATGAACAGAAACAGATAATACATTTGTTGTAAATGTTATAAAGCATATACAGTGTATTAACATTCAGTCTTCTAATCTTTGTAGGTGATACAAAGTCCAACAAAGGGTGGAGCCCTCTTCATCTGGCATCATATTTTGGCCATCTTCCAGTTGTCCGTGCATTACTTATGGTAGGTAATAGCTTAGTAGTGTACAATATATACCTGTACACATACAGCAAAGTTCTTGGATCTGTGAAAGAAGTTATACTATTTCCAACCTCCTTGCATCCTTTTCTTGATGTCTTGCCATTGTACATCAAGCAAAATGTATATGACTCACTTGTTTATTCTAACATTTGATCAGCTCCACAATTTCAATGCAAGAAAACAGTGCATAACTTGCTAGTATAAGTTGTAGAGATCTGTGCATGTTGTTAACTCTGTGTTATGTACTGTTCCAGCATGGTGCTGATGTGGATATTGTGAACGACCTTGGAGACACACCACTGCACAAAGCTGCATTAACAGGGAGAACGGTAGGTATTGAACTAGTACTAGTAGTAGTAGGACATTACTGTGGTGCTTTTAGCTTTGAGGTAGACATGCTAGGTCACAAATTTTGAATGGTAGGTACTGGATAGCTCTTGTGCTCAGGAAGAAGTGATGTGAGTTTTGGCACCGTAGCAGCTTGTTCTGGAACTGCAGGGCCGTAAAAAAAACTTTTGAAAGATAACCAATTGAACAGATCTAGTGATTTTGGGTATACACATAGTTTATACTGACTGTGTTTCCCTGTCCTTGGTACTGACTGTTTTTCCCTGACCCTGACTGTGTTTCCCTGTCCCTGGTGCTGACTGTGTTTCCCTGTCCCTGGTGCTGACTGTGTTTCCCAGTCCCTGGTGCTGACTATGTTTCCCTGTCCCTGGTACTATTTTGAAAATCAGGCTTTAATTTCCATAATATATGAGGAAATTTTATAAATACGGAGAATTCCGTGACATGACTACATTTGCAGTTGTGACCTGTGTAATTGAGTTGGTGTTTTTTCTTCAGGATATGGTGACCCTCTTACTTCAGTACAATGCAGATGTGAACGTCATCAACGGTGAGGGAGACACACCAAAACAGATGACCCATGTAGCTGAGGTGAAGAGACTTATTGAAGGTACAGTACAAGAACAGGTACTGCTAAAATTGACTTCAATGTTTCTCCAACAGGACTGGTGAACATGGTTTATATCAGGTTTCATCCCCTTTTCCCCAGATTTTTTTCTTCTTAAAAGATATTAAGATAATATCATCAGCAGAATTTTCCTGACGAATATTTTGGCTGTGTCACATTTCCACAACCTTAATGCTAGAGAATATTATGTTTCACTCACTCAATCCTCTTCTGAACCTAGTGGTTCTTGAGGTGACAGGAAGGATTTCCATCTGGCCCTATCTGCAGCTGCGTCGGGGGCTGTGTCCAGAGTCAGTCCCCTCTCTTTTAGGTCCCTCTGTATTGTCCTCTATATTATCTTTAGTTGATATTATATTAGCTTGCTGTGTGTTTATAAAACATGGAAAATACTGTTTTCTAAAGCAGGCATTATGGCACTTTGTTTTCAGCTGCTGAAAACTCCCAGCAGCTGCAGGTGGAGGCCCAGTTGCTGTCAGCTGCGAGGGAGGGGCACCTGGACAGGCTGGCTGACCTGGTAAGGGTTAATCTTCCAGCAGATCTCTCGTTGGCTGCATAGACAGTATCAAACTTAAAGTAACATTTGCAAAGCAAATGCATAATGTTTGCCTTCGCATCTGATCTACTCTGTTAATTCTTACTCAAACACATTCATATATATGGTCAGACAGGAGTCTAAATCCCTCCTGCTATAAAATTGCAACATTATGTAACCCCACACTAGTTACCATGATGGTAATTGACAGTCTGGTTCAGGTCATTGACCTTTTGGTGTGAAGAAGAAGAGGAGGAAACGGAGCAAAAACAATATGTTTTCCTTCTGACCATTTAGCTCACAGGGCCGAGAGCTGTAAACATCAACTGTACAGACATCAGTGGGAACACTCCGCTGCACTGCGCTGCCTACAGGAACCAGAAGGAGGCAGCCGTCATGTTACTACAGCACGGGGCGGATCCCACGCTCAGGAACAGTGGGGGTGAGTTCGACTGGTAGAACAGCTGTTACGTGTCTGAATAGTAGCAGCAACAGGGAGAAAACTGGTTGGTTTTTTGCATCTCTAAATTGAATTCTGAAAGCTAATCTCAGAATCTATGTTTTTACCTTAGTTAATAAGTACATGTAGTGTGTATCAGTCTACATGTAAGTACATTTTATGATGAATTCTAATTCTAAAATGTACTGATATCTGGTACATTGTACATTGTAAGTGTAGGATGATGGTCATTGCTGCTTAAAGATTTGGACGAAAAATTAATTGTGCCTTAACAATTTAAGTTACAACAGTGAACAGCATTCCATAATCATGTCTACTACACATAGTAGTCTAGCTAGAGTCAAATTAATATTAAATATAATTAACAGGAGATATTTCCCCTCTGTCCACAGATCAAACTGCGCTGGACCTCGTAAGGACAGCCCAGATGAGACAACTGCTGGATGTTAAACCTATCAAAGTAGGTTCAAGGTCAACATGAAATACAACTGTTCCTGAAGTAGTCAATTATGATAGACATGAACAATTTGAAAGATATTTGGACAAAAAATACACTCTTCTGCAATTGGTCTTTACTTATCCTGATGAAGGCAACATTGAAGAGTTGATCCTTAAGTATGTACCTTTTGTTGGAATTAAGTTTAGCATCATACTATGCTTACTACTAGTACCAACGCAAATAGACTTTTAAAAGTAACTACCAGGATGATTCCTTGTAATTGTGTGTTCCTTAGACCATTTTTGTCAGTACATGTACTCATAGTTGTAATAGCACCTAATTCAGTTGTCTGTTTCCAGGACATACAGAAGCATGTACAGAGGTTTGAGGGTCTCCTGCTCAGGGTAGGTTTTTTTTTACATATGTTTCTTGCATATAGTATAGGTTCTTAACAATATTATATATTAAGTTTCCAGACTGTAACAAAAAGTTATTTCTCGCCTTTCTAGTTTGATGTTGTTTTGACTATACAAGAAAATAAACATTCCAATTTTTATCTGTGTGTGTTTTCTCCTGTGTGTGCAGAGATCTCGGTTCCTTGGCTGGAGAAGTTGTTGGGTAGTCCTGGAGAGGGGAGTGCTGTCATACTTCAAGAAAAGGTACATGTATATCAGAGTATACTTAAACAATACATACTCTTATTGTCTTAACATGTATTTCCAAATTTCAATTTGATAAAATCATAATCTACACTGTACATAATTCAATAATAGCTTTTGATATTTAACTTCAAGTTGATATATTTATGTCTTGATCTTACATTTTCTGTTGTCAGGGCGGATGCTGCAAGTGGTGTGAAGAGGACAGGATTCAAATATCTGAATGAAGCTGTCGTCACGGTCAGTTAATATCACAGAAGAAAACAATTTCAGTATAGAAAAGGTTCAGTCAAACTTCCCAGGTAAGTTGTAGATGTATTACATGATTGTGGAATTTAGTTAAATGTCACTCTTTAAGCAGAAGTTGGCGGGGAAGATGGTGACCTTGCAGTTTTGGTATGGATACATGTTAAATCAGTTGACTGTCCATATCCACTAGAGCTACATACACTGTTACACTGTTGCCTTTTAACTGCAGGAAGCCAGTGCAGATGAGAATGAGTTCCGAGTGAAGTTTTTTGACAGCACAGTGCACCACTACAGCGTACCTCCGGAAACTTCCACACAGATATGCAGACAGGTAGGTACATGGTAATGTCAGGGTGGCTGGATTGAGAAAATAACATTTACTGCCATTTCAAGCATAATTTAATATTTAATGTTCTATCTGAGGTACATTCTTAACCTGAAGCTAGGTACATGTACTCATTTTGTCCAGAGTGAAGTGAGAAAAGTTGTGTTAAGTGCCTTTCCCAAGCACACAATATATCAGTGACATGGCAGGATTCGAACCTGGGACCTCTTGGTTCTGAGCCAAACACTCCGCTGTTACACCACTGAAATTCTGTCAAAGAAATTCTGTAACATACAGTGCTGGCTAGAGCACTGTAGGGAAGTACAATGTTGTCTTATTTTCATGTAAATGTATCATAACAGCTTGTGTTGTATTTATAGAGATGGGTGAATGCCCTTACTGACCACATAGCGTTCAGTAACCACTACACACATCAGCCCCAGGTCAGCGATGATGAAGACCTGGAAATACAACCACTGGGGAACATGCAGAACGCACTACAGGTGGGACCAACAGGCTTAAATCTCATTTATTAAATTCTATTCACATAGATTTGTGAGCATTGGACAGAAGGCATGTACATGTGATGTGCTTATAAAAATCCTTTGCTCTTGAAAAATAAAAACATAGTAAATACTGTGTGTAAATTGTGTTGCAGATTGACAGTGAACTACCCTGAAAGAATTCTGTTGCATATAGTATGTTCAATGATGTTCACCTTAACTTAAGTTCCAAATGCTACAAAGAAAGCTATTCTTACTAGCTTTTCCTAATAACTTATGACTTGAATTTTTATGATTTGTTTCGATCATACAGACAGCTCATGCCCACCAACAAATCCTGGAGAAGCAGATTTCAGACATGGCAGCTTTGCTGGAAGGGATGGAGTTTAACAAGTCTACTGTCATGCAAGGTAAGGAAGGCTATAAACCAGTGTTCTAGGTAGCGTCCATCTTTCTGTCTTTTGGATGTAATTTTGTCACTCATAACAAACAAAAGTTTTACCCAATAAGTCATCTTTGACAGACAAAAATCGGGGTGTAAAGGTATGGAAAGAGATATCATTTAACCAAGCTTAAGTCTAGCAGAAAGCAAAATTTGCTCTTCAACTTTTCAGATTGTCAAGATTTCAAAATTTCTGGGAATGAACCTGTCTTTCTCTGTCATGACCAGTGGGAGATTACCTCTTCAGTGAGCTAAAACTGGATCAAGAGCACTTTCCTTTCCTTTTCCTTTCTCACGGCAGATGTATAAATATAAGATGTAAATGAAATAGGTTTTCATCAACTTGCCACTGGCACTTGCCAGTTGTTATATGTATTGAATTTGCCTTGACCAGGTCTGACAATTGTTACTGGTCACTCCCTTACAGGTTCCTCCGGACTGGTCACTCAGAAGATGAACCAGCTGACAAACACTTCCAGGGACATGTACTCTGCCATGACCTACTGTCTGTCACTCATCACACAACAGGAACAGGTGGGGTTTTTATGTTCCAATGTTTTATATCCTACAGCTATTCCATACTGTGTATACATGGTAGCATTGTAGTGTAGTGTTGCCCCTGTATATCTGTATCTGTATAGCCGGTATAACTGCCCTTTGGCGTAACACACCAGCTTCGCAGGCACGCGGCGCGGCAGCAGCTGGCTACATTACACTGATTGACTTGTTACACCTAACCCTTGAACATCTAACTCTAGACACGTTTAAAGCTATCTAATGACAATGCCCCTACTGTACTTGGTGACAGTGAGTTCCACTCTGCGATAGTTGTATGTAATAAGTTGAATCAGTCCTATCCCCTAGCATACTGACCTCTGTGAGGCAAAATTGCAATCATTATGTCACTGACAGACAATACAGTTGCTTATTTTGTATCGTAGGCTGGTTCTAGCATTTCATGGGCGGTACCCAAAAATATATTACGCCTTTCAAAAAGTTTTATTAATGATGATGAAATTGTGTAGTAAATGTCAGACAGATGTCCTCATGCAAAAATAGTTTTGTTTTGCTGCTCTGAAATTACATCAGATGCCTGGAAAAGAGTGAGATAAGTAGTAGGATGTGAAATATGTTTCTGAACATTTTGCCTTTGTCTGACCCATGGAAAGGGCTATTGTTAACCACCTTAAATGAAGCATCTCTATAACTCCAATGCTGGCATCATATGTAACAATTGTCTGCCCATTTTGTCAGCAGTATGGATAACAAACACTTCATCACAAAATTCAATATAGAATATACATATGTACATAAAAGTGGGATCATGCTATGCAGCAAGTTTCCTTGTGTCATGATGATTTACATGATTGGGAAGGATTTCACCTGATCACAATAAGATCACTCATCACTCAACAGGAACAGGTGGGGCTGTTATGTTCAGGCCATTGTTGTGCAAGACGTAACGTTTGTTTGTTTCGCATAACTGGTTAACCCACTTCAGGCGTAACGCACCAGTTTTGTACAAGGAAAATACAAGCTGTGTAAGGTTTGAACCACTCACACTGGGAAGGTCCCCTAATCTTTTCGGTAAGTGCGGTGGGTTCTTTCACGTGCGTGGGGTGTGGCTCTCCCCAAACACAGGACCTCCATTTAATGTCCTATCCTAGGGACGTCCCTAACCAAAGCTAGGTACTCATTTCCACCTGAGTGAAGTGAGGAAAGTCGTGTAAAGTACCTTTCCCAAGGGCACAAGATTGGTAACATCGGGTAGGATTTGACTATTGTTGTGCAATTAGGAAAATACATTAAAAAAAACTTAATGCATGTTAGGGAATAGTTTAATCTCTAATTTTGTTGTTGACATAATCTATATATGAAGTTCAAAGCATGCATATATTCTGTATCAAGGATGACTCTATTCACTCACATACTTCATGTAGTTAGTTAACTTATAGTAGACCATTCTAAAGTCCCTGTTCTTTTGTCGAGTCAATAAAGAATCTCTGATATCATACAGCTATTCCATAGTACTATTGATAATTTCATAGCAAAGGGGTTAGCTTTTCTGTTCAGTGTTGTCTCCATTTGTAAACCAACCAGCCATCCTGTATAAATTAGACCATCCTGGATGCACAGAATGCTGTCCCACTGGCCAGGACAATGTATTTTACACTAGGAAATATGTACTATGCTTTAGATTGCAGCCTGAAAAGGACAGACATTAGTGGAATTTGATAATGAGCCTGGGGCCCTTAAAAAATGGCAGACTGCTGATTTTGTCAGAAGCCCTGCAGTGCTGACCTCTTTCTATTATCAATTTTTATTAAGTAGTAAAAAAACAAAAGCAGATATTTGGATCCATTAAACAGATATTTGATTAACGTGGCCTACATTTTTGTGAAATTGATATCATAATAGTTTTATCTGTAGTGGGCGTGGTAGGTTAAACATTCGACCTTGGTTAGGCCTAGAAAAAAAATGTTGTGTTTCCTGTTTCAGTCCTGAAAAAATTAAGGTTGGTAGGTAGGGACGATCTTTTTTTTTCTTAGACCTTGGCGATCTCTAGTGATCCAAGTTATACAATACAACTTTGTCAAAGTAATACTTGCATGAGGACGCATATTACTAGTATTCAATGTCAATGTTCCAAAACCGATTGTACAATGTTTCATCACTCAGGTGTCAGATCATGGAGCTAGAAAAGGTCCATCAGCTTGAAAAATATATTTCCCTTGCAGGGGTCAACCCCAAAAAAGGTTAGGGTTGGCACTTTTTTTCTAGGGTCGGTCGGGAAACAGGAAACACAACATTTTTTCCTGGGCCTAGTAACAAATCAACTAGCCATTGTATTAAGCTATTCCCCCATACTGCATTGTATATTCCCTAGAGCTCATGTATAAATAATAGAGTCTTACCAGGAGGAATGATCCTGTCCAACAGGAATGATCAGTATGTCTGAAATTTACCATTTTTAAGGCTTTTCTTTACAAAGAAATGAATACAGTGATTCCAATTTGTACATTTTTCTATATTTTTAGATTTTTGTTGTCTGTATTGTTTGTTTTGCCTTATTATGTCAGAATGATATTGATAGTGTGATAGAATATAGATCAGGTGTTGTAAGGATCATTCCTGCTGGTAGCTATTATACGTACATGTATGCGGGTTGTAGGCATTTGGTCTCCTGGCTGTTCTGTACAGTGGGTTGAGGTGAGTGTACCTTGTCAGCAAGTATTATTATATTTATACCGTCTCAGCTCTGATTTTCCTCCATAACGTGTCTTTATCTTATCTAATAAATAAAATTTAACTAGAGATGATGTTATTCTGGAAATGAAAATGATGGAAATTTTCATCTAGTAATTTGTAAGTTGGGTAACCATTATATATATACCTGCCATGTTGGGTCTCTGCAATAATTTAGCTTCTTGCAATTGGCATCTGCAATCATGTAAAAATTTTGTAGCTCTAACCATGCAGATATTAGCCTGTTGTTTTCTCTTCTGCATTCATTTTTAAATTTTTACTGAAACCTGGTATCCAGGCTTCTATTCAATAGGTGCAAATGATATTGCAAGAAGGTATTGAGGCACAGATATTGCTAATATTGTTACACTATACATTTACATTATGTAGCTGAGCCTATATTTTGGATGTTTTTCGCTCTATCCTAATGGAAAGAAGAAAATGGAAGCTGGGCTAGGTTTAAATTTGTATTTTAGACTAATGGTTTTCTGCGGATGGTCTATTTCTGACTCCGCCATTCCATCAGGGTGCATATATTGATTATTCCTAGGCATAGTGGATCAAGAAGGGCCAAAATTACGTAGGTAGCTTATGTCAATACCGTATCCATTTCATGACAGAGCATATTTTGTTTCCCGGTTCTGATTTCATCATGTTTTTAGATTAACAATTCTATGATCTGATGTTTGCAAAAGAGAAATTCTATACCTGAATGCAGAAAATGTTGTGTACAGGAATTCCAGGTGTACAGGAATTACAAGAATTACAGAAAATACTGTATCCATTTCATGACAGAGCATATTTTGTTACCCGGTTCTGATTTCTTTCTGATTTTAGATTAACAATTCTATGATCATGTTTTTGAGAGCTTCACAAGAGAAATTCTATCCATGTATGCAAAAAAATGTGGTGTACAGGATACAGGTGTACAGGAATTCCAAGAATTACAGGAAACACAGAAATTGTACCTGGAATTTTGGCATGCATGACAAAGAACCATTCTTGCATTGACCAATAACAATGGAAAGAGCCATTGTTAGTGATTTACAAAATATAATGCACATAAATTTTGCATAGATGCATGACGTATGTATTGCATAAGAATGGCAACTGAGACTAAGGCCTGATTTACCATGTGTAACTTACTGTAAGACTGTGTTTGCGTTTTATTGTTATAAATTACTCTTAGTAGTGCAAAATTTAAACTTTGAAGCTCAGAACATTCATTAAGAATAATCTTTTTTCTAGTGATCCAGCTTAACCCAGGAGCTCCTTGCTTATACAATACAGTTTAACAATTTGAAAGTAAAACTTGCATGAGGACACTTATATTTTCAATGTTAGAAAACATGATTGCACACTTAAGTTTTATCAAACAGGTGTCAGATCATGGAGCTAGGAAAGGTTGATCTGCTCGAAAAATTTATTCCCTTGAAGGGGTCCACACAAAAAGAGGCTAGGGTCGGTCAGGAAACAGGAAAGACCACATTCTCTTTTATCCTTAGGCTAGTCCTTATTATACTGTCTTGTGCACAACCCCAGGTACATAAGGTGCGTCTTCAGCAGGAGATCGATAAGTCGAGTGTTTTTCTTCACGCCCTCGCTTATGATAATACCGGTAGTCTGTCTTTTCTGTATCTGTATCAGTGTAGCCTGTATAACGCGGCCCTTCAGTGCATAACACACCAGCTTCGCAGGCACTCGGTGAGGCAGCAGCTAGCTACATGACACCGAATGACTTGTTACACTCAATCTTTGCACATTTAATTGCAGGAGTTGTTAAAAGCTTAAGTTCCTAGTGATGATGCTCCAACTGTGCTTGGTGGCAGCGAGTTCCATTCTACGATAGTTCTTGAAAAATATGATTTTTTAACACCTTAATTCCTGGTTGATAACTCTGATATTTGAAGGCATGACTATTTCTTGTTCTTTTCAGGTACGGAAAGTCCGTCTGCAGCAGGAGATAGAGAAGTCTCGTGTTCTACAGGACGCGCTGCACGCCCTCGCTACAGAACACCATCAGCTGGAGACTAGTCTGTCCGTCTCACGTCCTCACACACTCCCAGGGTCATTCTGTGACGCCAGTGATGATGAATTCTATGATGCCTTTTCAGGATCAGGAGGTGAGAACCATACTTCAACCATAGCACGTCGGCAGAACGTTCTGCGCCAGTGCGCAAAACCCTGATTTTTCACAGTTTTTGTTGGATGTTTAGTCACTGTTGCATCAGAATTTTTGCTGCTGCAGAGGGAATCTTTTCCGACATAACATTTGGAAACTACAGATGGGATGTTAAACATATACGCGCGATTACGACCTTAATGCACACACAACACATTGCTGATTTCGCGCAGGTGCAGTATGTTCTGCCAACGTGTTACTTACCATACAGGGCAGAAATTCAGAGCTGGTAGAGTTAACAATTCTACCAGAGGCAAAAAATTGAAGCAGTGAATCCAAGAAGTAACAAATAAAATTGGTGTGGCCTAAAGCCAATTCACATAAATTATGTTAATATCCCTCTAGCACACTACAAGTTACAAACCAGTCATATGTATGGCTGCCTAAGTGGAATTTTTTTTATTTATATGATTTTATATAGGCATTTTTATTGGTATAAAAATCTGAATCAGATGCTATTCAATTATTTATTTTTTTATCACTGTTCATGTTTTTTGCTCGAATGACATATTATTAAATACATGATTAAAGAAAACTTTGACTTTTGTACAATTTTCCACAAAACAGTAACTTTGCTGAAGTGTGAACATATACAATGTAAGAGTACTCTGTAGAGTACATGTGTTGGCAACTTTGTAGGTCATTGACCTGTTCCTCCCCACGCCCTTGCACAATGGTACAGTCCTAGTTCTGGTAAACATTAGCCGAGAGGTCAGGGTAAATAGCAAGACTGAGTCACTAGTTATATAGTGGCTGTACGTGATGTGTGGGAGTATTGCTAGGCTCCATATGTATGCCATGGTATAGTTTGATCACATCCACACAATCAGACATGGACTATGCTGTATCTTTCGTTGACAAGTTGGTGTCTTGGGGCTTCGGGTATGACAAAGATGAGTCCACAGAGAAAGGTAGTATGTATACAATTACTGTTTACTATCCTGTCAAAGGTACTTAACATTTGGTACTTGTCGTCAATGGTTCTCTAAACACATTGATTATGAATATGAATAGATTGTGTTGATCATTTCAAATACATACATGTAGCAGCATAATATATTCATTCATTTTTGTGTTTGTTTACTGTTGTGGCTGCGTGGCACCCTCAGGCACTATTTTTCATTTAGTATCCCTCAGTACATATTATACAAACAATGCTACAATATAGACAGGACAAGAACCAAATTGTACATCAAAATCAAAATCATGTCCATAATCAAATTCATGCCAGGTCATGAGGGTCGGAGGTCACTGCACCATATGGCTGTTTTTCCTAGATGCAGTAAATTTACTTCATATTCACCACAAAAAAGGCTCATAAGGACCACTCAAATGTTTTGGGTAACTGTACTAGACAGTGAGGACAGATGTTTGTTGATCTTTGACTTGAAAAGTTTAAGGTTATACCCATTTGGGAAACAATCAGGTCAAAAATGACATACATCTAGCTGCCAGTTAAAAACTAAGTTTTATTATACCTTTTTTTTCAATGAATGATGATGATAAAAACTGTTATATTTGTGCCACTTAATGTCACATTATGTATTTGTCATGATCAGGACCTAGTTTGTTGTGAGGACCCCCTTAGACACTGAGTAATCCACAACAGCTGTCCTGCAGGGACCTGTGGTATTTCAACAGCTGGCCAGATGCCAACAGTTTGTTGACAGTCCTAGAAAATTCTCTGTAGCAACTCAGAAGGAAGTTGCCAGGGCCAATGCAACTGTTATGGAAATGTAATTATACTTTGTATGTCCTAACATGAACATGATCCTTAACAAACAAACAAACAAACAAGTAGGCTTTAGTACTCATTGAGGACACTACTTCCATGAAAAATTGGAGGTTACTGTATTGTTTTTGTCAGTCTGTGTGTTTACACATATTTGTGGTCAGCATAACTTAAGAAGGCCTGTATATATGGATTGTTATGATATTTGGTATGTTGACTAGTCTTGGGAAGACAAAGGTCAAGGTCAAATTTGGACCTCATGGTGGCTGAACTTGGTACTGCAGCAGAACTTTTGGTTTTGTATATCTTTTGCCCTGAACATGCTATGGTCTTGATTTTTTGGTGCCTAATAACTTTTCATGTCAGGAGTAAATGTTGTGGATTTGGTCTACCTAGCAGCTTGTTCTGGAACTGCAGTGGATTTTCCAGCAGCAAAGACCTGCACAGGAAAAAAGGTGATTCCTGAAATGGAATCTTCCAAGCTGACAAGGAACTGCTGTGTTGTTACAGGGTCTCCCAGGTCCTTTGTCAGCCTAGAGGAAGACAGCAGTTCCACAAGTAACAGTTCACAGTACGAGTCACTCAGACATGCTCACAAACATCAACATCAGCAACAACAACAACAACTAGGAGGTGCTGCTCAGATAGCCGAGATGTCAGCCAGTGCATCCAAAACTTACAGGTTTGTTATTGTGGATCAGAAATTGTGTATCCGTAGATTGCAAAATCTGTGCTGCAAAATGAAGAAAACATTGCCATCAGGCATCGTCAAGTACCGGCCTCCATGTTAATTGTGGCCAAAGTTTTGCCCAAACAGCATTGCAAGGTTGCCAACATGCCAACAACCTACATGTAAATGTGGATTTAGGTACACAGCACTAAATGATCATGTATTTTGTTGATTTTTATTGAAAAATGGACATGTTCACAGAATTTAATCTTCAGGATGGTAGGAATAGCTTTAAAGGGGGATGGGTCGATCAGAGAAAGACAAATAATTTGATGATGGAAAAGTTCATGCTGCAAAAGGGATCACTGTAGGCATACAAGTACTGTGAGAATATAAAAAATTTGAGTATCTTACGAGTGTATCTTACTGTTTTATCTAAATCTGCTGTACATGTACTAAGTATCTTATTGTTGGTCTAAATCTGCTGTCCTGTCCTTAGGAACTGTCTGCCTGCTCCTGCATTTGACAAAGATGACTTCAGTGTGTGGACTATTCTCAAGCAGTGCATTGGCAAGGTAAGGGTACATGAACATAGTATGATTTACAAACATGTACATGTGACCAGTGATGGCTGTTATGATCATAACGTCACATTGGATGCCTAATATTAATAAGCATGATAGCTGTTGGAGAGTGATAAACAAATTCAGGCCACACCAATTTAATTTGTTGGTTCTCGGATTTTTTCAGAAAAAATATGAAGCGAAAGGGCGAAAAAAAATAAAAATAAAAACAGGTCTAGGCATCCTATTATAGCCCCAAATGCTACAATATGAGCCATGAAGTCAACAAAAAAGGCTGGGTTAAAATTTAAAGTATAAATTTTGAACCACTTCATTGATAGATGGAAAAAACTGTAACAACTAGGAAGAAAAGGAATTTCCTCAACTGTTGGGGGCAAAATATGAGCATTTTTGAGTTGATTCAGAACCAGAATTTTTTTTTTTTTTGCAAATCCGAAAAAATGAAGAGGCAAATCCGAGAACCAACAAATTAAATTGGTGTGGCCTCAGGGTTAAATCTTGTTACAACATAATGTCCCACCAGTAAAGTACTAGCCTGGACATTCTCTGAATCTCCCTATGGTGGATTTCTTGTAGTCTCTACCAGACTCCTTTGCAGGCTGAATAAATAGTAGAAACTGGACCCTCTATGGCCGGCCAACTCCTCTGGCCAATGATTTCCCCCTTTGCTGATTTCTACTATTTATTCAGCCTGCAAAGGAGTCTGGTAGAGACTAGATTTCTTGCAGATTCTATGCATATTCCACTGTCACTAATCCTCCTTGTCTGCATGTTTGCAAACTTAAAGCAGCAAGTTTGTTGATACATGTGCTGTGTACGTAACCCCAGCATGTTGGCAGAACGTAAATAATTGCACCTGCGCAAAATCCGTAATGTACATGTATTGTGCATACCACTTCGGCAGAACATCTCATATAAGGTCGTATTTGCATATATAAGGTTAACATCGATATCACAACTGAAAATATATCTTCTGCAACAGACAAAATTCTGATGCAACAGTGACCAAACATTCAATGAAAACCGTGGAAAATCCGGGTTTCCCGCAGGCGCAGTACATTTTGCTCGTAACCCCAGCCCTAACATGCTTGTGTTGTCTGCTGTACTAACACCAGTGTTTACCTCTTGTCCTCTGTGCTTCCTCCCTTCTCTGAAGACCCAGGTAACTCACTGATGAGAAAGTCTGAGCAAATGAGATACTAAAAACCTGAAGGATACTAGCAATATCATGAAGTATAAAGATAGAGAAAATATTGGATACATGGACAAGTCAAATAAAGGCCACAGTAAACATTAGTTCCTCTTTGTCTTTCTTTCTTCTTTCTCCAACATGTTCGGAATACACACTACATTCAGTGTTGCTCCTAAACCCATCCTAATAAAATAACCATGCCAAGATGATACATGTACTTGTAGTAGTGGTGTTCCTGTACAGTATATATATATATTTTGCTCTGTTTCTTCTTCCTCTTCTTCTCCAAACCAAAAAGGTCAATGACCTGAACCAGACTGTCTGTTACCATGGTAACTAGTGCTGGGTTACATCATGTTGCAATTTTATTGCAGGAGGGATTTACACCCCTGTCACCATATATAACAAATGTGTTTGAGTACGAATTAACAGAGCAGACCATATGTGAAGGTAAACATTATGCATTATGCTTTGCAAATGTTACCTTTTGAGTAAACAGATTGTCCTTTTGCATCCCTAGGAGCTGTCGAAGATCACCATGCCCGTGGTGTTTAATGAGCCCCTGAGCTTCCTGCAGAGGTTATGTGAGTACATGGACTACTCCTACCTGCTGGACAAGGCCAGTGCTAGCGAGGATTCTCTCGTCAGATTGCAGGTAGATTGCAGATTGCAGTACATAATGAATTGCAAATTGAATCAGTGTGTGTATGTATGTGTGTGTGTGTGCGTGCATGTCTGTTTCTGTATGTATACACCAGCCACACACAGGTAAACATTCCTGTCCTTGGTACTGAACACTATCCACACACATACATACATACCTGTCCTTGGTGCTGAACACCATCCACACACATACATACCTGTCCTTGGTCCTGAACACCATCTACACACATACATATGTACCCAATGTATTTGGGTAGGTAGGTATTTGGGTAGGTATTTGGGTAGGTAGGTATTTGGGTAGGTATTTGGGTAGGTAGGTATTTGGGTAGGTATTTGGGTAGGTAGGTATTTGGGTAGGTAGGTATTTGGGTAGGTAGGTATTTGGGTAGGTATTTGGGTAGGTAGGTATTTGGGTAGGTATTTGGGTAGGTAGGTATTTGGGTAGGTAGGTACATACATACCTGTCCTTGGTGCTGAACACCATCCACACACATACATACCTACCCAAATACCCAAATACCTACCTACCCAAATACCTACCTACCCAAATACCTACCCAAATACCTACCTACCCAAATACCTACCCAAATACCTACCCAAATACCTACCCAAATACCTACCCAAATACCTACCTACCCAAATACCTACCCAAATACCTACCCCTGGTGCTGAACACCAGCCACACACAGGTAAACACAGTGACTGTTTTACTGTCTTTTTTGGGTCTGTGATTGTGTGTTTCCTTGTACATTATGTATTAGTGTGTTCCTCTGTATGTGTGTGTGTGATTCCCTGTCTGTGTGTGCGGTGTGCCTGTTCCTTTCTAGGCATGTGTTGTGCAGAATGAAGTTATATCCCAGTTTTGTGACCCAAAAGTTTGCTGCATGATTTCTCTCTCTCTCTCCCTTTCCCAGTACGTGACAGCCTTTGCCGTGTCTGCATGTTCCTCCAACGAACACAGACTGAGTAAACCGTTCAACCCTCTGCTGGGAGAAACATATGAACTGGACAGGTATTAAAATGTTGATACCCTTACACTTCACAAATTCCCTTTTAGTAAAATCCTTCATTTACATACATTTCAAGCTCTGAATCTATTTCAACATGCTTCAATGCAGTGGTTTGATAAAAACTTCAAAATTCATTGTTTGAATTACAAGACCAGTACAATGTATGTTGACTTCATGGCTCCTATCTTAGCATTTGGGGCTGTCATCAGATGCCTATACATTTATAAGACTTTTTTCATTTTCAATTTTTCTGCATTATTGCTTCATTTTTTTGCAGCCCAGTTTTTCTGAAAAAAAAATCTGAGAACCAACAAATTAAATTGGTGTGGCCAAAGTGTTTAATGTCATGTCCTTGTGTGTTCTCCCCAGGCCAGACTTAGGATTTAGAATAGTAGCAGAACAGGTCAGCCACCACCCTCCTGTCAGTGCCTTCTACGCAGAGGGGAAACAATGGCTGTTCCACGGCTCTGTTCATCCCAAACTCAAGTTCTGGGGCAAGAGTGTGGAGATCCAGCCTAAAGGGACAATCACTGTAGAGCTACCAAGGTAAGGTCACTGGAAAATGATGGGACCTGACATGAAAATTCAGCTTTGGAGCTTCATTATATCATAGTAATCCCTATGCTGGGCTCAAAATGCTGGGTGCATATGCACTTAAATGTAAGTACATGTAAAATTGGGACTGTGCAGGTATTTCTGATGTCTACTTGAACCAAATCTGCACTGGGCCATGTACATTTTATATACAAATGTAGGTGTATCTGGATTTTTATTTCAAACATTGACTCTTACCACACATGAAGTGCAGTATATAAAAGAAATAATGGCAATATGTTCTGAACAGTTTTCAGTGTGATCCATACTTCCTAAATTCCAAGTTGTGCAGGTAAAATTTGTTGCAGGTACTTTTCAATGTTACCTGGAGTGGTGTAGGTATGAAGAAAAAAGTATTTCAAGCCCTGCTAACTAAATCTTAATTTTGTGTTCACTGCAGCCATGGTGAGGTCTACACATGGCAGAATGTCAACAGCTGTGTTCATAACATCATTGTGGGGAAACTGTGGATAGAGCAGTATGGAGAGATGGAGGTGAAGAACCACAACACTGCCGAGAAAGTCATCCTCAACTTCCGACCCAGCGGCTGGTTCGGCAAGGAGCTGCATAAAATAGACGGATATGTTTATGACAAAGAGTAAGTCATGTTGTTATATAATATATACAGCTTCATGAATGATCAGAGGTTGATGTTCTACCATGTTGCAGATGTACAGGTTCAGGTACATAATATTGTTTTTGCTCTGTTTCCTCTTCTTATTCACTATACAAATACATGTAATGTCAATGACCTGGGCCAGACGTCTGTCACCATGGTAACTTGTGCTGTAGCAGACATCCTGTGGTGTTAGATTACATTTGTAGCAAGAGTTGGAGGGGCTGGTCACCATGTATTCTATATGAACTTATTTTATAAAGACTACAATGTCATATGTATAGAGCACAGTAATTGTTAAGCTAGAGCATGTGAAAGCAGTATAGCCTGGTTACCGAATCTAGTATAACTCCCAAGTCTTACAATGTACATCTGTGTAGGATGTAGGACTCGGGAGCTATAATAGGTTTGGTAACCAGGCTAAAAGTAGATATGCATTTGCTTTGCACATGTTACCTTTCTATAGTATGATTATATCTACCCTGTAATATTCTTCAGGAAGAACAAGAGAAGAGCGCTGTACGGCAGGTGGACAGAGAACATGTACAGTGTAGATGTGGATCTGTTTGAGGACATGAGAAGGAAAGCCAAGGAGAAGAAGAAGGGTAGAAAAGAACCTTCCCCGTCTCCCACCAAGCTGTTCAGAAGAAATGGTTCCTCCAGCAGCCCAGCTCAGGTACAGGGAAATACTAGATTTATCACTGATTAAAGTTGAATGTGACATATAGACACAAGACACAGTGGAAGAGGATGAAGAAAGACTGAATGCAGGATGAAGAACACAGTGGAAGAGAGATGTTGAAGAAGGGGAACATCATTAGATACTAGTATTGATTGTGTAAATAAAGACCTAACTTGCATAATTAATGAGAAACTGCTTTAATATTATAATACAAATTTCATAATCTGTGGTAACTGTAGGAATTCCCCACATTTGGAAGTTAAGTGAAGGTGAACATCATTAAACACAGTTTTTTTAAATTAAGATCTCATTTGCATAATTTATGAGGACATGCTAGAATAGCTTTCTTTTTGTTAAGACAAGACTGTCATTGGATGGATTGTATGACTAAATCAGATGTAATTCTTGCAAATGAGGATCTTCTTTGCAACCAATGAGGAACATAGAAATTCCTCTGTTGAAAATGTTAACATCAACTGGTGAATGTATCTGTATCTGTATAGCCAGTGTATAACCACCCATCAGCATAACATACCAGCTTTGTTTGAGATCATCAAACTCTTGTTTTCCATGAAATCCTATACAGGACAGTGTAGATGGTGCGATGGGTGTGGGAGAGGTGAGCCTGTTCCCAGTGTCTCCCTCTGAAGACCCAGACCAGCCCAGTCCGGATGATGAGCACATGAAGGAGATGTTAGAACATCCTGACTCTGACCAACTGTGGCAGGTGTCGCCTCGCCCGGACCACTCTGAACAGGTACATTATACCACAATGCAGGACTCAAAATTAACAGTGTCCCAAGGGCCACTGCCTGTATTAAAATGTAAGCCGGGACAACTAAAAAGACACTTTTTGGGGGACAATAGAAAAGTACTTAACATCAGAATGTTGGCCCTTCTTTTGTTTATCGGGCACACATCCCGGCTTCTAGATCCAGAAAATTCCCCCTGAATTTCCTGTCTTCTCTGCAATTATAGTGCACCTGGGAGTCAGAACGTAAGCAAAATAAAGCTGACTTTAACTTAAACAGGCCAGAACACCTGCATCAAACATTATTGTGGACCAGGTATTTTATATAAGCAGCAAACAGACCAGACACAATATTATGTACATTGTACATGGTAGTACAGAAACAGAGCTCGAGCATAGTACTACTACATGCTGCTTTTAAAGGTACAGTATGCTTTACACTGTTATAGTGTTTAAGGTACAGTGTGCATGCTTAACAATAATGTTTAAGGTACAGTATGCATGCTTAACAATAGTGTTTAAGGTACAGTTTGCATGCTTGACACTTTATGTTCAAACAACACAGGCAGAGTCTTCTGAAAACTATCAACTTTGGCAGGCTGAAGCCAAAAGTGAGCATGCTTCAAAGGTGATTATTGTTTGTTTTTGTTTTTTGTTGTTTGATTATTTTTATTTTTTTTTGTCATTGCTTGATTATTTTTTGTTATTTTTTTATTGTTGTTGCATAGTTATTTTTTTTTCTTTCTATTCTCATTTAGATACATCTGTATGTGCCAGAGTCAAGAACTCGATTGCACTTAGTCTGTTATTATACTTGCTCATTATTACCTTTACCAAGAAGTTTATGATTTGGCATCTGTAGGTTTCTCATAAAGGGATTTGATTCATTTTTATGATTGTTTGCCTGGACAGGTATTTAATTGAATATTATAGGTGAACACTAACACACCAGAAACCTCCACTTTACTTGAATAAAAATGTGTACTACATACTATGTTGTTCCACAGTACTTCCACTTCACCAACTTTGCCATGACGCTGAATGAGCTGAGTGAGGGAATGGATGAGAACCTCCCTTCCACCGACTGCAGGTTTCGCCCTGATATACGGCATCTGGAGGAGGGAGACTTAGGTGGGTTTGCGTATCATCAGCTTTTGTTGAATTTGTTTTAAGAAAGCCAACCCATGTCTGCATGTTCATCTGATGGAAAAGAATCAGGAAGTACACATGTAGTATACAAACAACTGTAATGTACCAGAAATTTACCCAGTGGCTTTCTTCAAAGTGCAAGCAAACCAGCCTAGGCTTCAGCAATTGGTTATGTGACAAACTGACCAAGCATTTTTTTTTGGTTTTGATACTTTAAGGACAAGAAAAATTTAAAAGAATAGAAAACTTAAACTTTGTAGTCTTTAAATTTATTGAAGAAAAGGAGTCTAAGAAGGGAACATTGTTTTTTGCTTTCTGCAGACAAAGCAGCCCAGGAGAAAAATAGACTGGAAGAGAAGCAGAGAGCAGCCAGGAAACAGCGCAATAAACAGAAGCAGCAGTGGACACCAAGGTAGGGGTGGTAGTAGGCATTCCTTGGTTATGTGGTATCATGTTAACCTTCGCAGAAGGAAAACATATTGTTTTTGCTTAGTTTTTTCTTGTTCTCCAAACACATAAGGGCAATCACCTGGGCCAGAGGTCTGTCACCATGGTAACTGCCGATGTAGCAAACACCCTGTGGTGTTGGGTTGCATTACATATTGTATGTAGCAGGATGGAGCTGGAGATGCTCGTCAGCATATACATTTACTAGTATATGAAATGTGTTTGAGCAAGAATAAACAACTGCAGTGGTTTGTTAGGCTAGACCATGTGAAGGTCATTATGCATTTGCTTTGCAAATGTTGCATTTCTAGCTAGTATTCAATTTGATTAATGTGTACATTGTCTATGTTGTCTCATTGTTGTATCCTTGTTGTTGCTCAGATGGTTCCATCAAGGAACACACTCCCAGACCGGAGAGACAGGCTGGACCTACGCTGGAGGCTACTGGGAGAGGGATTATCAATCTAAAGACTTACCAGACATCTTCTGATTAAAATGTGATGAACTTATTCATGAGAAGACAAGGCACTGCAGATCCCAGCTCACTGCATCATAATGTTGTTGTGAAGGTGCACAAGTAGTGAGTTACAGCAATCATATTAAAAAGTTGTAATTGTAGTAAGGTTTCCAGAAGGAAGAGTTCATGGTATAGAACTAGGTACATGTACATTGTATTTAGATGTATGAATAAGACTTTGATCCAATGCAAGGAAGAGTATGGTACTGTGGTAAATGATCACCAGCATGAATATTTAGCCAAATAGGCACTCACTGGACTTGTTGGTCCATGGATTTTTGCAGGAGATCAAAGAAAAGGGAGGGCAAAACTATAACAACAACAGAAAAAAAATGGGGTAACCTGTGGTCATTGGAGCAGAACGCCTGTTCCATTTGAGTCAATGAAACAGAACGCATGTTCCATCTGGGGTCGTCCATTTTGATTTCCTGCAAAAATTCATGAACTAACAAATTAAATAGGTGTGGTGTAATACTCTCACATCATGATTGTAATTAACATCCAGGGGTATATAGATATAGACATAAACAGTTTAGAACACGGCACATGTGTCTTCCAGCAACATGTAGATAGCATTTTAATTGTATTTTGTACAGTAGTAAGATACTAGTACTTCTATAGACTTGTATAGACTTTAAATGTTGTGTAAGTAAGAAATAACTTATTTGACACATCACTATCTTTGTTTTTGTCAAACAAACTAAAGAAAAGCTATATGTACATGTATGTATGTTTCCAGCCTCATATTGGGCTGACACTGGTTTCATGATGGCACAGGTATTTTCTAGTTGTGGAAGCAGAGACAAAAGTAGTAAATATCTAGCCTTCCAAAATCATAAATGAAACAAAAAGTAGAAACAAATGTAGATCGTTTTCCCCCAAATTAGTATTTAAAGCCGTATGGGAGAATACTAGACAAAGAAGGTACTAACCAAATGCATTTCCTAAGAAAATTCACCATCAAGGGTATGCCATATCTGTGGCATAACTTATAATTTTAAAAGTAGAAATGTTACATAGATCTATTTCATGGGAAATAGCTTTACCAATTTTTGTTGTTGTCAAATGTATGTGCATAATAAAACAATATGAAGCATCTTCACTAACTTAAAGATCTGATTTAACTAAGCTTAAGACATTTTGAGACTGTTCTTTTTTCATACTTTTGTCATACCAAAGATTATTATTCTGTTGTTAAGGGATTATGGGGGCAAGAATGCAATTTTTTCCACCCACTATAACCAGAGGACAGGAAAAAATTAAATAACCTGTTTGCACATTCCATCATGCAATTTTGCTTGTACAATGTATTTATACTGAACGGTTTGCAAAGTTGTGTTTCTGTATGGACTGTTTTCATGTTGAATTGTGCTTATAAATTTAAGTTTTTACTCATATTCAAGATGTATTTAAAGTGCAATGTACACACATTTCTCATATCATCATGAGAGGAATTGTACAAGTTCCACAATTATTGCTAAAAAAAAGTTCTATCAGGGAGGCATTAAACGTATGTAACGTAGAGCTTGCATGGCATAGACTACTAGTAGTACTGAGATGGTGCAGCACAGAGCTATGTGACTGTGTTAAATCAAGAGATTCCTCGTCAAGGGGAAATTTGCTGTAGTCACAATAGCAGGACACAATGACAAATCCAGTCAAGTCAATGACTATGTAAGGCCATGTTGATTTGATTATATGGATGACATCCGCGCGCGCATGAATTTTCGGCCGTTTCAAAAAAAAAAAGTTTTCAACCATACTGTAAATCGTACAAAACAGTTGCAAAATGAGCAAAAATATACCGTAAGTTACAAAAAAAACATACCAACGTTGTAGAATGCCAAAATCAAACGAAAAAAGACGAAATTGTAAAGAAATGAACTTGAAGACTAGATTATTCGCCAAACCATATTCTGTCCCATTTGTTCAACCCTCGTGACCACGTAGATTTCATAATGAAAACAACTTTTTTTTTTGCAAAACTTTTTTTTATTCGCACGCGCGCATCAATTTTGGGGTTCTCGGAGGATGTCATCCATATAATCAAATCAACATGGCCTAATATCATGTATTTGGTGCTTTCCCCTTTCATGGTAGCAATATAAACTTACATTCTTCAGGGAGACCAGGGTGGGATAAATTCCATGGGGATCACTTCACAAGTCAACTGTAATTGTAAATACATGTAGATTTCATCTAGTTCACATCTAGTAACAGTCAACCACCATGAAGAAACGTATTACTAAGTCTACAGCCATGGAATTCATTATGATCATGATCATCTTTCCTCCCGTGAAGAAGATATTGTGCAAGAACATAATGTGGCAACCAAGCTTAACTTTGGTTACACACAAAGTATTCATAGACTGTATTAAATAAAGTACATTCACTGGTAAATGATTTTCTTGTCCTTTTTGTGTGTTCATATTTGGTAGTAGAACTAGATAGCTACGTGATATAACAGTATAATGAAGAAGATCCATTTCAGCACTAAGGACAGACCATGCATGGGCATTTTTTATTAATTGTGCCACACGTTATTTACTATCTATGCACAGGCTGCCTACAAAAAACAGGCCACAGACCTGAGTGTACCTCTAATGGTAAAATAAAATGAACCTCTTTCAAGAAGAGCCCC